GTTTGCAAAATGGAGGGACCCAACATTCACAGGCTTCCCAGCAGATGAGGGAGGGGAGGATTTGGCTAAAGTGGAAGATGAGTGGCCTGAGCAGCCAGCAAAGGCTCCAGGAACAAGAATATGAATTTGACTCACACAGGACAGCAGGCTTTCTAAGGAAACACTGAACTGAATGAGAGAGGGGCATGCCAGATTTGGGAATAAAAGGCAAGGGAGACAGAAAGCTGCATAAGGCAGTTTTATTGTATGAGTTTTTTGGTGGTTGTAATATACAGAATTTGATTCACATGATGGGATGGTGTTTCAAGAATAGCAAGGGAGCAAAAGTTACTAATTACGGCAAGTGGTATCCATAAGAGCAACAGGTAGAGGGGGATAGAGAGTAAATGCACTCTGTAAAGGCAAGTAGAGTCGTACAGTGAATGATAGTCAATTATGGAAGGAGGGAAGGCAGTGAACCAAGAAACCATAGCAGCCAGAGGTGGTGTGGAGGGGGCATAGGGAGGATGCAGGGTTGCCACATTTTGAGCAATGGGAACAGCAAGTGAGCAGAAGAAGAGCTGGATTTGGGGACAGAGAAGTGCCAGTAAAAGTATTGCAAACAGATTTTGATTTACAATTGGCAGAAGCTGGCAAAACAAAACATGTCTGGCACATTTATTTAATTCTTTATTTGTAGCCCTCTCTTTTTTGTCTTACAAGGAACTTGATGCAGCTTACAAAATTGTCCATTATATTCTCAGAGCAACCCTTTGAGGTAGATTAGGCTGAGACTCACTTACTGACGCAGAATCACCCATTGAGCTTCATGGTTGAATATGGATTAGAACCTGGGTCTTCTGAGTCTCGGTCCAGCACTTTGACCAGTACAGTACACTGGAACCTAGTGGGCCAAGGTTGGATGCTCCTTTGTGGTGGCATCACCAGCCTTCCCTGTGACATTCCTAGGATATTGTCACTTGAAAGCCCTGTGGATACATGCCATTCAGGAGTTAGAGGACATAAGGGGAAGCAAGCCATTGAAGCTGCAGTGTATCTGGTTTTCTGTTGAAAGTAGCATGGGTTAGCAAACATACAGCCAACCCACTGTGGCTTATGATGTGTGAACTGGACCTTGAAAGGCACGTAGTGACTGAACCAAGCAGTTTTCTCTTAGGGAAATCTAGAATGGTGGTCCATGACCAGAAAAGCCCTGTTTCATGTACTGAAGTGTATCATCTCTGAAAGTGGAAGAATGTAGAACAGGATGTGAGATGTTGACTTAAGTAAAATGCTAGGCATAAATGAATCAAGGCAGTCTCTCAAGCACTCTCCCTTTGTTGCCCCCTAGCAAAAGGTATACTGTCACTGTAGGTTCTAGTATGCTGCTACTGGCAGGTAATTACAGACTTATCCTCCACGAATCTGCCAAATCCAATTTTTAAGGTACTTATCCATAAGCTTATCATTACATCTTGCAGCAGATTCCATCAATTAATTATGCATGGGATGAAGAGATTTTTTTTATCTGCTCTGAATTTCTGCCAGTCAACTGAGATAATCCTAAATTCTAGTACTGTCTAGCTGTACAATACACCTTTTGAAATGAGGTGACTGGAGCTTTACAGAATGACTTGGCCTGCATCACTGTTGCATCTGCAGAAGCTGTGGTGGCTTGTTGAAGCTGTGGCACATTGCCTAATTATCTGCCGGGAAATTATTTGCCACGTTGTCCAAACCTAGGCAGCATGGATTGTTCAAGGGGGAAACAACCCTCACAGAATCCAACAACAGCCATGGGTTTTGAAGGTTGTTTCCCCCTCAAATAAGACAGTGTCCCAGGTTTGAGAAGGTGTGTCCAAGGAGATAATTAGGCAAATGGTGCCTGGCATTTGTTAAGGCCTAAATAAGCCACTGTTACTTGTTTAAACTGTGGTGGTTGTATGAATCAGGTCAGTATTTCAAGACCTTAGAGCTATATAAATTACAGGAGTGCATCATGTTTAGCAGTATCCCAAGTCAAATTGGACTGCTTCAGAGACATTCCTAAACAAAGTGGAATTCTTTCCAAAGTGACCACAGTGAACGCTGGACTGTTCCACATCTTCATATGCATTTCAGTGCAAAACCTCCCTTCTTGACTTGGCTCATGCTATAAATGATCCTTCAGAGAAGACTGAGGACATGTTCAATGGTCACATGGTGTTATATGTGGAAGCTATTTCATGTTCATCCAGTTCTTTGTGGTCTGGTGGAGTCAGCATCACAGTTCTGTAATAGGAAGGAGAAAATTTCACACTGTTGGTTCTTCATGATTCATTCCTTCATGTTCTTTTGGACATACAGGACAATGCATTGTATCGAACAGATAGATTTGCAGTGCACCTTCATTTTCTGAATGTAATTGCCCATTTGGGGGCAATTACTAATACCTTGAGTGCTCACATCTTTATTTTCCAAAGCAACTTGTTTCTAAGCTGTAAATATCCTCTGGACTTCTACATTCTTATCGCTTCAGAGCTGACTTTATCATGACTGAGGAGAGGATTGTTCCTCCCTTCCGCATTAGTCTGACAGATGGTGACATTATCAGTCAGCTCGTTTTTCCAAAGACATAAAATAAGCACTTGCTCTTTTATCCGTTTCCTTGGCTTAGGCTGAATGATATCTCAAATGTCAATTGTGGTATTTATTAGGATCACAAAGCATGTATTGGTGATATTTAGAATAACCTCTTAAAGTCTTTGCAGGAGAGAAACATTTCGTACTAAATTAATCACTATATAAAAGTCTAATAAACTGAGAATGCTCATCTAAATACACTAAACATTTATCTTGAGCATTGCTTGACCTTTTAATCATATAAATCCAAAAGAAATTGAATGTAGGATATAATGGCCAATTTTTTTTTCATTAGGAGTTTGTGTTAAATTTTGTGATATAAGAAGTTATTGTGATATAAGAAGTTATTTTACTTTAATTGCCTGATATAAATTCCCTACTCTAGCTAATGATGTCTCTCCTTTTTGGTCCAACTTTCAACTTATGCTGAACTCACTGACATGGCTCCTACATGAGTTAAACAAATGGGCTTTTGGAGGATGAGTGGGAGAGCATCATGCCAAGCATTTCTGTTTGGATTCAACAGCCTGTGATTAGATCATTTGTAGTTTGCACATTGCAATGTGCAAACCCTATGGGTTGTTTTGAGACTGAGCAGCTCAGTGGCTAACTCAAAATCAAGTCATGGGTTAACTGCTGGATTATTTGGCCCCTAAACAACCTATTTGTCAAGATTCCCATGTCATGCTCAATATCCTATGTTCAATTTGATAATAGGTTATTGAAAAATAGCCTATAATCAGCTTCAAAGTGGCCTTGGTTTCTCCCACTCATGCTTGACAATCCATAGGTGGTTGTTAGATGTGAACCAGTGAGACTAGCATAAGTTAAAAGCACAACCAAAAGGGTGTGAAACAACCCATTGAAAAGAAAAATAAATGTACATGAGTACCTGGAAGCCTGCCAGAAAATGAGGGAATCCTTAGAATGGTGCGATAGTAAACATATAGTTGAATGTATAATATTGATGTATATTTATTTTTTAAATTTTGGTTTATATTCATAACAGCTAGGAACTTACTAAGGTCTAAGCTATTCTATATCAGTTTTGAGTCAATTAAAACATGACAAAATGAAGTTTAACATAGAAGATGTTTTACAGAACAAGTTACAAAGTAATATGAATTTGGGTTTTGATTTTCAAATGTGAAATGGCAGACCTGACTCTGAGAAAATATCACTGATACATGTCTAAGGACTAGAACTTAACCTTGGGCTGGTGAGTGTAGTTTTAAGTCGAAGAAGTAGATGTGAACATGTAAGTAATTTCAGATGAATTGTTTAACAGTAGTTTAGAACAACTTGGTTATGCATATGAACTAACAAACCTTGCTTGTATCACAGGGGAAACATCTTGTTGAAACTTCACAGTCTGTAGCTACTTGCAGCTGAATAACTTCATATTTGCATATAACGCTGCATGATACTTTTCTAAACTGCTATGCAATGTATATAGATTTCTATCTCAACAGAGATTTCTGTCTGTGACACAGATAGATTTCCATCTCAGACACAGATACATAATGCTGTGTCTGGGAGCTTTCATACAATCAAATCTAGCAATAGCTTTGGTTTTAATGAATTGGATTGACTTTTATTTCTTCTTGTAGATAAACCAAAGAGGCTATCATTAGTCTTAAATATAGCACCCAGGAAACCTAATTACATTAGGGCTTCAATTTGTTATCCTTGTTGCAACTTGAAAGTGTTGAATGTCTTTAGAAAACCAGACTGATATAACATGTGACTTTTCATATGGAGCCTCTCACCCTTTCAAGCATTTTCTTGTACCCCTGTCTGCCTCACAGTGAGGGAGGGGGCAGTACATATGAAGCTGGCTTATGTTGATGCGTCCAGTCTATCTATTGTCTCGGGCTCTCTTGATTTGGTACTCAGGGATTTTTTTTTCCCTGTCATAGCAAATATCTAATACCCTTTCAGTTGGGCAAGGGATCTGTATAGCCAAAAAATGGAATGATTTGGTGGTGCACTGTATCTCTCTGCATCTGTGAATAGCCTTACTAAGATAACACACGTGATTTGTAGGGCTATGCATGTTTGTCCAGGTTTGTCTTGGGCTAGAGGAACCTGTGATGCTAACTATTTTGTGGACAGAAATCTGTGGTTTTGCTGGGGTGTTCTGGAAATGTTACCACTTGTAAGCTTTCAGTTTGCTGGCAAGCAGTTGGGTAAAATTCCCACAAACACAGCTTTTTTCAACCAAAGATGGGAAACCAGTGTCCTAGCACAAGCTGGAAAAAACCGCTTTGCTGGGTCAGTTTCTGTATGTCACATGGGAGTGGCAAGAGTACAGAAAGTTCACAAAGTTGGGGTGGAGACATTAAATGGGCTGCCTTTTCTAAACTTACCTCTGTAACTTAATTCCTTTTATTGCTTAGGCAAGAGTGTAAGTTTGAAGATGTCACTTGTAAGATCTCCGACTCTGATCCCGAGGAGTCATCTGATGAAGCAAATACTGAAATTTTCTATGGAACCTCTCCTCCCAGCACACCGCGGCAGATGAAACGCATGTCAACAAAGCATCTGAAAAATAATGTTGGAGGGAGATCTGCCAGCCGTTCTGCTTTGAAAGGTATGTATGAGAACTTACATCTGTTGTATTCGAAAGACAGGCCAGGAGTAAGTTTGCATTCCTTACTACTGCTCTAGTGTTCTCTATTTAACTGTTACTACGCTTTTTTCTTGCACTATCATTTTGTTAAGTTTATATTAAAAGTTGAACAGAAGGGCATGTCGTGAGCAGAGCTGGCTGGAGCCAGGGGTCAGACTAGATGGCCTTGGAGACCCCTTCTGACTCACTCTGTTTCTGTGTTTCTATGAAGCTGCTTTTGCTTATTACTTTTAGTGTTGTAGAAGCTGGAAATGCAATGCTAGTATTGAGTGAGTGAGAAGGAGGATGAAGAGCCATAACAAATCATCTTTCTTTTCTACTGAGTGATAGTCGCCACATGTCTGCCACCTTTGGCTGAAGCCTTCCTCTTCCTTACCCTCAAATATAGCATCAGATGGTTCAGGTGACCACCCTCAGAACCTTCCTTTTCTCCAAATCTCCCAGGAGTAGTTTGGAATGACTGTGCTCTTGGATGCTGAATGGGGAGCATGAGAGGGCCTTGGATTGCTGGGCCATGGCCTGTTGTCTTCCAGTTCATGTGGCACAGTAAAGCAGGGAGAGTAAGAGGCCAGAGTTACCAAGTGTATTCATAATAATAATGAGAGATATTCATTTAGAAGTTCAAAAATAGGGACAGAGGAAGCTGATTTATACCAGGTCAGACTATTTATCCATCTAGCTCAGGATTATTATTAGTCTGAGCCCAATTCAAGGTGCTGGTTTTGACCTATAGAGCCCTAAATGGCTTGGGACCAGGATACTTGAAGCAATGTCTCCTTCCTTATATCCCCTCATGCCCCTTAAGATCTGTGGGAGAGGCCCTGCTCCGGGAACCCTCCTTGAAGGAGGTAAAAAGGGCATCTACTCGGAGTAGGGCCTTCTCTGCAGTGGCACCCAGACTGTGGAATATGCTTCCTAGAGAGGTTTGCCTGGCACCAAGCCTATATTCTTTTCAACACCAGGTTAAAACCTTTTTATTTAAATGTCATTTCAAGAATTAGAGTTTTTAGATTTTTAAAGTTAACAGTCACGTTTTATTATTTTTTCCATTTGTATTTATTTATGTTTCTTATGGTTGTGATTTATTCTCTTTTGCTTATTATTGGTTTAATTTGATGGTATTCCGTTAGTAATGATTGTACTTATAATAATCTAGTTGTTATTATTTATTGTATTATGCGTTGTATTTTCATTGTTCTGATTTTATATTCTGTAAGTCGTCTTGAGACATTTAGTGAAATGATGGGATAAAAATGTTGTATTAAATTAAATTAAAAATTAAATTATTGAACTATGGCAACTTTCCAGTTTTTCCTCTTTATGAGCCACTTCCATGATGAGCCAGTGGGATTGATTCTATACCAAGTGTTAAAACTGAACCATCAGCATACAAGGCCTCCTTGTCCTATGTACCTTCCTCTGTTGGTAACCCTGATAATGACTGAAGAACAGTTTTTTAACTTGCATACCTATATGCCATATTGGTGAAAAATTATGAACTGCTCCCATGAGGATTAGAGAGAGCTTTTTATTGGCTGATTTTGTGGTAATGCCTCATGTTCAGATGCTTTTTCCAAAAAGTAATATTGGAAGGTTGTGAGTACCCAGTATCTTTCATTAGCACTGCGTGAGCCCTCATGCACAGCATTAGTATCGACAGCTTTTTCAGCATTGTGCTTTGTAACATGATACTGATTGAACTACCTAAATATCACATTGTTTGCCACACTAAGATGACATACAAACAATGCCGCATCTTAGTTAGCATTATTTCAGGTACAGTAACCAAATGCTACAAGCCTAGGAAATATATTCTGCTCTGATTTTCTGCTCCTTCTCTTAGGCATTTATTGCAACATTTGTAAAATGATATGTGTGACTATTTTGTTTTGTCATAGAGTCCTAAAGTAACTAAAGTACATTGGTATTATATTATCCCATTTTTTTCAGAAGAGGCCTGAGAGTGAGAAGTTGCTTTGCTTAAATCCACTAACTGAATCCATAACAGAGACAAGATTTAAAGTTAGAATCTTTGTAGCCTCATCTCTTTGCCAATGCAGTAAACCTACTTTCCGACACAGTTGCACATAGCACTTAGTTCCTATATATTTATTGTAACAGGAAGAGAGTGTTCAAAACTTGCCAGGAAAGTGGTTAGTGGTTCAGGTACAATGGCATCTCTGCTAAAGCAGTAATGTGTAATACATTGAGTGGGTATTTGCATAGAGCAATTTTTATAATGTATAGAGCGGGAGACAACCACTGCAAAATGAATGTTTTATGACTGTTTACAGCAGTAAGTTTAAACTATATAGAAGGTTCAGGAGGCTGAAAGGAAGGTAGGGAGAAGGAGAAGCTTGTTCTGCACTTCAACTTTTTTCCCTCAAGAGCATTGCAGCAGCAGTACAACTCAGCTGAGGGGTTGAAGAAATTGCACCAGCAATTTCCTCCATCCTTTGCAGCTTAGTAATGCATTTGTAAAGGCAATGGACCTGGTATAGCTATTATCTATATATCCATTTACAATTAATCTGTTTTATGTATGCACACATGCAATGTTATCCTTTTCCATGTTTAGAGTTTGTAACATTGGCTGTATTTTTAATAAGATCTTTTTAGGGACCCTAGTAGCGAAACATTTCTCCTCCATTCATTCATTGTGTCAGGTTATGTGCTCTTTGGAGTGCTGCTGAATCACTGATTCCAGCTGCCATGTCTAGCAAAAGAGATAATTATAATGAGAAGTCAATTCTTATAATTACAATTAGTACAACAGAATGTTTCCATTAGCATGGTTTCAGAGTTAAGCCTATTATTTAAAAAGCTCCACAATGTAATTATATCTGCCTTTTATTATAAAGTGACTCAGCATTGCCTTGATTTTTGTGAGTGAAATGCTTTCAGGGTTTTTACATGTGATGATCAATTATTTCTATTAAATCATTCATGACTGTCTAACAAAATATGCATTTTGAAAATGTTAGGGTAGAATATAGTTTAAGCTCAATGCTAGGAGGAGAGAAGCACTCAAATAGGTTTTTTTACTTAGAGTAATCTATCAAGGTTTTTAAAATATATATTAATGGTAGCAGCACAGAATTGTAGGTTTAAGGGAAGCATTTATTTAGAGGGTGGTTGTATAGTAACTGGAACTAAGTGCATCATTTTCACAAATGGAGCCACAGAGAAGGTTTGGCATGGCCCACAAAGTGCTGTACTGTTTCATTATGTAGGAAACAGCTATATGATTGTCTTGCTTTGCCTGCAGCCACCATGCACATTCTCCAGCTATTGGTTAAATACTGGTTTGCAAATCACTGTTTTGAATACATTGACTATGATGGCAATGAACTCAAAAACACATGGGCAGAATATTTCATTGCTATTTGTGACAGGTTTAAAATTATTGATTTATGAACCTTTTATATAAAGCACTGTAATTAATCTGGACTTTGGTATGCTTGTGTCATGTGTACTTGGCATGTTACAGAACTGAAAGCTTATAGGAATGGAAGGGATAAAAAAGAACTATATGCAGCTTTTCTGAGTGCAAAAAACCCAACAGCAACTCCACCCTGTTCTATTTTATTACTTTCAGAGAAGATGAGCTCACCAAACCAGCTGTCTAACAAAGACAATGTCAAACCCCTTGAGAACACAGAAGAGCACAGCTATAAGCAGGGGAAAAAGATCCGAGCCACACTAAGGACTACTGAAAGGGATCACAAGAAAAACGTGCAGTGCTCATTCATGTTGGACTCCGTCAGTGGCTCCTTGCCAAAAAAGTCAATTCCAGATGTTGATCTCAATAAGCCTTACCTCAGCCTTGGCTGCAGCAATGCTAAGCCTCCAGTATCTGTACCTGTGCCTATAGCCAAAACTACACGCCAGACTTCTCGAACTGATTACCCAGCAGACCGCTTAAAGTTTTTTGAAACACTGCGGCTTTTGTTAAAGCTTACCTCAGTTTCCAAGAAAAAGGACAAAGAGCAGAAAGGACAGGAAAGCACTGCCTCTGTTGAGTTAAACCGATCCAATGAACTGATCTGGCTTGAATTGCAAGCTTGGCATGCGGGCCGGACTATTAAGGACCAAGACCTGTATTTGTACACAGCCCGTCAAGCCATCCCTGATATTGTCAATGAAATCCTTACTTTCAAAGTTAACTATGGGAACCTCTCCTGTGTAGGAAATGGAACTAGTCTTAATGGTACATCAGGAGGACAATGTAAAGCAACCCATGGAACTAGTGCTATGGGTTACTCAAGCTACCATGAACACCTCCATCGCCAACGGGTCTCATTTGAACAGGTAAAGCGGATAATGGAGCTGCTAGAATATGTAGAAGCACTTTATCCATCTCTGAAGGCCCTTCAAAGTGACTATGAAAAGTATGCTGCCAGGGATTTTCAGGACAGGGTGCAGGCACTCTGTCTCTGGCTCAACATTACAAAAGACTTAAATCAGAAACTAAGGATTATGGGAACTGTTTTGGGCATCAAGGATCTCTCTGACATTGGCTGGCCAGTGTTTGAAATCCCTTCTCCTCAGCCATTCAGACACAATCCAGAGGATGAGGATGTAGATGAGGACAGGGAAAACTCGGGAGCGTGCACAGAGGAAAGTGAAGAAGAAGAACAAATCTCTGAGGAAAATGTGGAAGAACTCAGACAAGCCATCCAGAATAATTTTGCCAATAAGTCAAATTTTGACTTTGAGGCACAGGACCATTTGTCAAAAAAGCTTGACAGGCTTGTATCTGAGGATGACTCAACTTGCTGGGCTGTCACAGAGTGCAGCAGTGAGGCAGACTGCAGTAAACACTGTTTGACTTCTATCTATAGGCCATTTGTAGATAAAGCACTGAAACAAATGGGGTTACGAAAGCTAATTTTAAGACTGCACAAGTTAATGCATGGTTCCTTGCAAAGGGCACGAATGGCATTGATAAAGAGTGACCAGCAGTTGGAGGTAAGTTTGGAGGAAAGGTTGAGGTAGTTGGTTTGCTTTTTGTTGTCAATGGTTTTCAAGCAACAGTTCCGTTTGGTCACACTTTCTTTACAAAAACCTTTATTTTGCAATGTGTGTGTGTATGTGCCTGCATGTGTGGGCACACACATACTTGTACACCCTCAGTTGTTCTGTGTTATACAGTGCCTTGTTAATGAGTTATCTAAATTACTGGAATGTGATAAAAACACAATCTGGTACTCTGCTGTCAGACATGCGGGACTTGAAGTACATGTATGTCCTAGTACCAACAGAGAAGCCACAATGCATCCTTTATGGGCTCCCTGAAGTGCTGGTCCCTGAATTGCTACTGTAATTGATGGGAAAGTAGAAGGATGAGGAAGAGTTCGTTGCTCAACTCCCTACCCCCTGGATCTTCAGTTAACTTTCCCTCTTGCTCCTTTTGCCTGCTTGGCTAGTGACCAGCATTGACTACACAATGGACTTGTGGCTAATACTAGTGGACCAAACTCTAGAAATGATGGTGACATGTTCCGAATGGAATGCTTTATTTGTTGCATTAATGATTTTGGTTTCTGAACAGTTGATACACTGCAGATTTTAAGACACAAATATGCCTTGCTACGAATATGAGTAAGATATTTTCCAGTATTTGTAAAGCATAGGGTAGTGAAGCAGTCCCTACAAGAACTAGAACAGAATGTGCTGTGTATGTGGAATATGTTCAGTTTTCAAAATTCAAAAAATGGATTGGCACAGAGAAGTTTGAATAATAATGCTTTTGTATTCCATGTTCCTCCAAGGAGGTCAGAGAGGCATTCCTGTTTTTTCCTTCAGCATTTATCCGTGCTACTATCCCATGAGGTAGGTTAAGTTGAGAGGTAATAGCAGGCCCATAGTCACCCAGTTCATTTCAAGGTTGAGTGGAGGTGTGAACTCAGGATTCCCCAGTCATAGCCAGTGGCTCTGACTTCTCATTCATTTAAATTTGGCTGTGACTACAGAAGGACCTTTCAAAATTCACCAACATGTATTAGTTACTGGATGGTGTTGAAAGACCCCAAATGTTAAAGGAATGTGCTTCTTGGGAATATATCTTACAGAGGATAAATCTCACAATTAAAAAAAAACAAACATTTTTACCTCAAGTATGACTTTTAACGTATTTATACTGTCAAGTTACAGGGTTATGGTATTGTAAATATACAGGTAGGTATCATGAATTCCCTGTTGTGCCTTGTATAGCAAAGTGCTTTAATGACCATAGTATAATTTCAAATCAAATTGATAACCATAAAATGGAATACTTTTGAAAAGCAGTATAAGGTCAGTTTTCCTCTCAGATAGGATTTACTACTGCTAATCTCTGGCCACCATAGCTTCTTTGTGAAATGGCCCAATTTTGATCCATGTGCAAAATAATATCTCATCTAGAAATTTTCCCCTGATATCTAACCTGCTTTCCTGCTATCAGATTTTTGAAATGTAATTGCGAAGACATGATTATTGCAGTCATTTTACACATTCGGTTATAATATAAGATATCTACTAATATAGAGTCATGTTTTCCTACTGTTTTTATAAAGAATCACAACAACTATAGGGAATGTATTTTTATGTGATCTTAAGACGTCCATTTTGGAAATTGAGGTGTGGAGGTGAACAGTGAGATTTCAGAAACAATGTGTTTTTGAACTGGATCTGTGATACAAAGTGCCTGGGGTTGGGATGGAAAACTTTAATAATTTTCACAATCTTACACAAAAAAGGGCTGCTTAATTGATAAATTTCCAATCTAGAAGTCTACTGTTCTTTCTGCTATCTAGAAAATGCTAAGCAAATTTTTATATACTGTTCAGTGCTTGCTAAATAATGAATGGTGGATGACTTTTCATTTTAGCAATGGTATAATTCCTAGTATATCCATTCCTGAAATCTGATTCTGGGTTTGAAATTATAACATGTGTGGGTTGAGAGGATGTAAAGAAAAACATTAGATACTGTGGTGTTGTGAAACCTAAGACTTTGTTTTGGATTAATATACTTACATCCCTTTAGTTCATTTGCATCATGTCTGTTTCTACTTGCAGAAAGCAAGAAAGGAAAATCAGAGAGATGTTAATCATATTATTTATTTCTTAAGCTGGATATGTTCAAATGTCACAATGTGGAATGTGCTTTGAAAATGGTTTGGAAATGTGAGAGGGGATTTCTTTGTATCAAGCCTGGCATCAGCACTTGGCCTGCTAGAGAAGTTGCTGCCGCCCCAGTGCAGAGCCCACTAACACGCCTGTCACACTGGGCAACTGGGTCTCCAGATGTGTTGGACTACAACACCCATGTTTTCCAGCTAGTAGTTAGGGTTTATAGCCCAACACATCTGGAGGACAGAAGCTTGGAGAAGGGCAGGGTCACTGTGCATGCAATATGCAGTTTTGGTTGATTGTGTAGTTCTGGATGTTCACATTATTGCCATGTTGGTTCTACAGCATTGGACATGAAACAGACTGATGTACAAAATCCTGTGATTACCTAACCCCCTTCAAAATGGGAACACAAAGTTAATTACAGGCATACACAGGTGTATTTAATCACTTGTTACATCATATCCCTTTCCCAATGGTGATACCTTTTTATTTATCAAATTCAAAAACTTTAATTTTCTAAAATTTCAAAAAGCAAAAGTTTTATTGGATTATACCCACGTTTCTTAAATACTGGAGTTTAAAAACAATAGCTCAAAAACAGCATATTGAACACTGTATACATGTTTGGGTCATTGATAGAGTGATTACTTTAGCTTGTTAAGATTTAACATTGCATGTAGTCCTGTATAAGCCACTTCCTTTTAGCGACATTTAGCAGATTTCAGTTAGATGTTTTTCAAAGTTAGGAAAGTTGCAAATTAAAATTATGGTTTGTATTTAACATGCATGTGGCTGATTGATAACATTTTGTTCACTCTGATATTGTGTGTTTTCTGGGGAAACTCATTTTTATATAATTTGCTCCCAATTAAATAATGAAGTTTTGCCTCATGGGCTTTGGACCTTTCTTTCCCTTGCATATGAGCATTTTGTACTGCATAGCAAGTTTTTGAAAGTATGGTTACCTTTAAAAGCAGGCTTGCTAAACAGCACAGGATATTTTTGAGGAACTTCAAATGCCCTGTGGTTGAGCAAATGTGTTCTATGATTCTCTGGACATCTACAACTATAATGCTGCAATTTTGACAGAACATCAGCTTCTTTGAGCTTACAGCAATTTTTTGAAGGTGGCATTTGGGAATTTGCATGTGAGAAGTTACTAGCTTGATGGGAGGAAGAAAGATTTTCAGATTGTTTTGTTATATAGTATTTATTTTTTGTTAGTTTTCAGAGTACCCAGATCCCATTTTATGTTCAGATTATGTGCAGTTGTCAAATTCTCCAGCTTCTTCGGATCAAAAATGCAGTACTGTGTCATGGGAAGAGCTGAAATCTATGGATTTACCATCTTTTGAGCCTGCATTTCTAGTTCTTTGCCGAGTTCTTCTTAACGTTATCCACGAGTGTCTCAAATTAAGGCTGGAACAGAGGCCTGCTGGGGAGCCGTCTCTCTTGAGTATTAAGCAGGTTTGCCTGATGTGTTTTATTGACTTTTCCCCTATTTTTTGTTGTAAGGTTAATATTGTTTCATAGAAGAATGTACAGTCTGTATTTTGCTTCACCGGCAGCATGAAAAGACACATAGGGTACAATCCTATGCAGGTTTAGACAAGCAAAAGGTCTACAACTCCTAGCACGCCCTGACTATCCATGTTGCAAGTTGTAGGACTCTTTTCTCTCTACACACGCGCAGGATTATGACCTTAATAGATAAGAAAATGTGATATTATCCACAGATAATTCTAACACTTCAAAAATAATGTCCTAATCTTACCAAAGTTGCCTTTATATAATGTGCTGCTTCTTCTGAATTGCCAGCACTTATAAGCAATTTAAGAGACAAGTTGTATGCTGGTGTTTCTGTTACTGGTAAGAATTGAGACAATTATTGAGGATTCTGTGGAGGATCTCTTGAACCTTTGCCCACTAAATGAATGTAGATTATTTGTTTATTTGTTAAATTTTTAGACTGTGCCTTTAGCCCTGTTATTAGATAATTAGAGTTAGGTATCAGTACTATTCATTTAATGAGATTAATATCACATATGATTCCAGGGACCTGAGCTAATGTATATTATCCTATCCAGAAGTTTTACAGTCAGGATTATCTATAAACTCTCTGAAGCTGCATTACCTTGTATCTGGTCCTTAAGTCATACAGCTTCTGAGAACTGTGTAAGGCTACCTGGTTAAAGTTAAATTTATTTATTTGATACATATCTACTTTTCAGTCAAAACATTGGTACTGATGGCAGCCAACACAATCTAAATTCTTTAGAAGTGGCATAAGCCATCCCCCACCCCTTGATTTAAACACACAATCTTGAAAATAGGAGGGCAGCTTTTTTTCGAGGGGGGATTGTTTTAAGTCTTACTAAATTATAAAGTTTTGACAATAATGATGGTGTGAGATTTATGGTGAGGTGGATTGGGTCCATATACTAGCACTGACCATCACTGATTGTCAGATTATTCTACTCATAAATGAAAAGTAGCTGTATGTCAAGATGAATGAGAAAAAAGGGTGTATGAGAGTTAATGCAGTAATTGTAGAATTTCTGTTGCATAACCCTTTTACCTCATAAAGAAGCAGTTTTAAATTTATGAAAGACAGAATTTATTAAAATTGTTAGATAAGTTTTACATTTCTAAATTGGAAAACACCAGATTGATGACTGTTCATGGACTGTTTCCATCCAGTTAGTACGAGAGTGTAAAGAGGTCCTGAAGGGTGGTCTGCTAATGAAGCAATATTATCAGTTTATGTTACGTGAAGTGTTAGATGACCTACAGAAGAACAACTGCAACATTGACCCTTTTGAGGAAGATCTGCATAAGATGTTGATGGTAAGTAGCAGTTCATTGCAACTTAGCAATTCAAGTTTATAGGCTTTAGCAACTGACACCAAATAATCTGTTTTCAGTGTTATATCTAAAGATGCCCCAGTGTCAAGTGATCTTAGCACATGTACATTTGGGTTAAGGCACCTCTATTTATGAAATCATATACAGTGAGGATATGAAAACAAATACTATTATAAGTCTGCTTTTCTTCAACAATACTCTAGGGTTAACTGGTTTTGCCTCATCCAGCCTGAACATGAATGTATGTCACATTTAGAACACAATCCCTTATTTGGATAGATCTTGTTTTTTCTGAACCAAAAGATGACAAACTTTGTACAGTTACATTTGAATTGAGATCTAACTCTTAGGGTTTTTTTTTCTTTTTTATGGTAATTTACCAAGTTGTCTCAATGCAAAGCTGGTAGAAATATTCTTGTTTGGTAAGGGAGAAGGGCAGAATGCAAACTATTTCCCATTTTATGAAGGCACCTTCATATTATGGGTGGATAATTTGCTGCAGCATTTTGTGTGTAGAAGCATGTTGTGAAACAACAGTTTAAACTGCCTTTCCTCCTATTTCAAGGTTTATTTTGATTATATGCGAAGCTGGATCCAAATGCTACAGCAGTTACCTCAAGCATCTCATAGTTTAAAAAATCTCTTGGAGGAAGAATGGAATTTTACCAAAGAAATAACTCCTTATATTCGGGGCGGTGAAGCTCAAGCAGGAAAACTCTTCTGGTAGAGCTCCTTATTACTGTGATTCTCATGTCCATTTAGCTCAGAATTAAATGTTATTGATTGGAAATGTGGCACTTGGTGTGAAGTTCCGGTATTTGTTTTTTAAAAAATAAATGATAGTTTCCTGATATTTCAGTTCCCTTAAAAACTGCAGTAAATTCTTAAGTTGCTTGCTTGTTTCATCAGTGTGAAAAGTTGTTCTTAACTAAATAGCTAATAGAAATTGAATACCAAGCAGGGCACGTATGAATGATGTTGAGGGAACATACTTTACTTACACAGAACTTAACTACCCCCTGCCATTGTCATTCTTATCCTCTGTTGTGCCCCTTGATCCACCAGCCCTCCTTTTGTATGCATTGGCACGGTCCAAGTATTCTGCCTTGTGAGCTTTCAGCTGTTGCTTCATGTTCTTCAAAAAAATTGCTTTTCCTGTGCTTTTCCCCAAAGAAACCAGACTAGGCTGCTATGTCACTGTGGCCAAATATTCGTGACATGTCCTGCATCTAGAAAGTATGTGCGAAGCAGCGGTTCTCATGTCTGGTCTCCTTACCTTGCTGTGTTTTTGTTCAATAATAAGAAAGCTTTGGTTCAGTAGAGATCTGTAGAATAGCTGTGTGTGGATGTGGCACATGGTTTTGTATTCTTAGTGTATGCACTGTGCTTGCCTGGCTTGTTTTATATCCTGGTTAAAGTTTTATATTGGTGTGTTTCAAACTCTCATAGAAAAATATTATGTGAAATAGTTTTAGTGAAAACTGTCACAGCTTCCATAGCAATATGAAAAAGTCAAACATTGTTGAAGCCACTATATCAGAAATATCTAATTCTAGCTTACAGATAAATCCTACTGAAATAAACAAACAAAATGAATTTATTTCTTTTCCCACTGTGGAAGTTTACATTCTTAAGAAATGATGTTACCTTCATTTAGCTTTTTCTTCATCCTGAGTAGCTTAATTTCTTTCTGACTTGTATCCACCTCACTCATTAACAATTAGTAAGGAAGACAATAAAAATTCAATATGCTCTGCTTCTGCATGAATTATTTCACACATACCTTACTACTTTTCATACTTTCCTATTTGTGGCCATGTAACCTTGTACTGCTTTGGAGGTTTCAATACACAAACTTGTTTCTTTTGTGTGCTGAAGTGACAGTTGTTTTCATTTTTTCAGTGATATTGCAGGAGTTCTGCTAAAATCAACAGGTATCTTTTTGGACTCTGGCTTACAAAAGAGCTGTGACGAGTTTTGGGCTACTGCTGATGACAGCCCTGCTTCAGATGAAATCAGGTGCTTCTTTGTTTTTCTTTTGCTCTTACACTTTTTCAATTAATGTTCAAGACGCTTTACTGCATTACGTATGTCTTTACATGCAGCAACCTGATTTATTTTTTAAAACACCAGCCAAAATTAATTAATCTGTACTAAGTCTAATAGTGCCCATACATAATAGCTTGAGAACAATGTTTATACATTGTTTCTTTAACTTGGTTTTGTACTTTTATGTAGAATATGTCACCTTAGCAATCCGAAGTACATTTTTAGCTTTGTGCATACTTTCATTCCAAAACCAGACCATGTGGTGATGTTCTTTAACACATTTGATTACATCTCTGAAAGTGCATTGAAATGACTGCATTCTGTTCAATTTTTGTAGGAGGTCTGTTATAGAGACCAGCCGGGCACTGAAAGAGCTGTTTCATGAAGCTAGAGAGAGAGCATCCAAAGCTCTTGGCTTTGCTAAGAGATTAAGAAAGGTAAAAACAGGAAGGGGTTCTAAATAATGTACCAGGTCCAGTTGGTTCATATATATACCTTGACAAGCCAGTTTGATGTGCACACAGACTGTAAAGGATATGGCCAGAGGTATGGTACATATGTGACGGAATGTTGCTCTATGCTATGATTCAAATGGGGATAGCTCTTCTAAGTTTGGAAAGCACGGGCAACGCACACTTAATTTGGAGACATAGTCTCACATGCTCTCATTAGGTTCAAATAAAAAAACAAGATTTATTTTATCAAGATTTTTCTCAGACTTGTGCAAATGTTCCAGCAGAGAAAAATGGCTTGATTAGTGAGCCTAACCCCACCCCACCTCCAGGATATGAGTCTAATACATTTGACTAATAGATAAGAAAGATGCAGACTTGGGAAATTAGTCTTCCCATATATGGAGGAGAAGAGGACACAAGGGAAATAGCAAAGAAGGAGATTGGAGGCCTGCACACCAGAGGAAGCTTTGATGTTGGTGAAATGGCGGAAGTACAGGGGTGAATGTAGATTTAGAGGAGAAGGAAAAGAAAGAAAAATGAGATAGAATTAGTTGATAGGAAGAAAGAGAATCTAGAGAATGTTGTTTCTAGATTAGGTCATGAAATGTTGGGGATACAGAACACCTGCGGATATCTCAGTTTTAGTTTTAATTTACAAAGCACAGGGTGCTAGCTTCAGGCTACTTGGTCACTCTTGATGACATTGTTATCCAGGAAAAGGAACAAGATACCAGCCAGGGTTTATTCAATGATCATAAGTGTTCATGAGGATAACCAAATGGAGGCTAAGCCATTCTTAGGGATCCCACAGTCAAAACAATTTGATTAAAATTAGAGATGGTTGTCAGTGGAGTTTCTCCTGGATGTTCCCATTTAGATTTAAGAATTAGTGCTTCTTGAGACTTGTTTAGAAGTTCTTTTCATGCACCTTACACTGTTTTCTTAAACATCAAATATAGCACTGTTATATCTTCATGGATAATTGGTTGGGAAATGACAAGATAATTTGTCATACATTCATAGGAGTCTGCCAGTTAAGGCTTAATCAAATCACAGTCACATTTCCAAGGAGGCTCTTCATTGTACAGCATTGCAGAGCCCAGTTATCATTCCTGGCAGCTATAGTAGTAGTTCTGCCTTCCAAAACGAAATGGATGCCAGAGCCAAGATCCATTGTCCAGTCAATCCAAGGGCAAAACAGAAAAACAGCACATCTTCTCTGTAACAAATATGATTTTTAAAAAATCTCTCCTTATTCGTAGGACCTTGAAATAGCAGCAGAGTTCACATTATCTTCCCCTGTGTGTGAATTCCTCAGTGCCCTAAAAGCTCAACAGTACACAAAGGTAAAATCACCCTTGGGGCTTAATGTCATTAGAATGCTAACAGTATGTTATTTGGACATAACGCTCACTGGGGATTATTCCAAAGTAAGCATGGTAGAACTGTCATCTAAATGTGTTAAATGGGCAGGTAAACCAGATATGTCAAGTATGTGCACTTTGAACTACTAAGACCAAGATCCAAAGGGCCAGCTAATGCTGGAGTGGGGAACTTAAGGCTTTTGGGCCAATCCAGCTCTCCTGGGTTCCTCAGATAGTTACAACCCCAATTTCTCCTGCCAGCTGATCATTTGGTGATTTTGCAGCTTTTGCACATTTCCCCCCATAAGAGGTTGAAATCCTGCTGCTAAAGCTTAGTTACTTGGCGGTAAGAACTTTAAGCTAATAATGGGCAATTTTTTGACCTGCCCATCATTGGACAGCAGTCCACTTTCAAATTCTCCAAAATAGAATTTGTTCCTAGGGCTGAAAGACACTCCCTTTCCCTGAGTTTCTGGAAGCATTATGTCACTAATGCAATAAGACTGTAACTGAATTGTATCACTATAGACTACCTGAGGATTTCACACAATGCATTGCTTATTCCTACATAAAAACTTCCTGCACACGGAGGACAACTAGCATGACCCGAGGAAGAGCAATAGCCTGACCATTTCCTAGATACGCAAAAAAGTTCACCCATTGGAGTAGGAGAGAAGCAGGGTGGAGGGAATGCATTCCCACTTTGACAAGGTGCTTCATTGCTTCTGTTTCACTGTCCAGCAAGACTGGGAATGAGTCACCTTGTTTCTGAAACAATCTGCAGGTGTTCCTTTTTTCTGTGCTGTGTAAATGGGTAGCATAGTAAAACGTATTTGCCTAGTTAGCTTAGCACTGGAGAGATGAATTTTCCCACCTCCCTGGGATGAGATCAGTGCAGCTCATTTGCATGAATTCTCAGCACTATGTAATCTTGCCCTGTGTGTGATTCCCGATTGACTAAGTTCATGAAGAATGTGAAGACAGTATGCCTCTTTGTGGGGTGTGTGCGTGTGTTGGGAGACAGCTACCCTTGCATATGAAATGTAAAGATGCACTTGTGGTTCCTCCCACAACCAGGCCCCACAGCATTTCATTTGCAATGTGTTTGCGATGTGTTTCCAGGTTCTAATAATTTGAATCACATTTGTTTGTTCTGTAGGTACAAATCCCTGGACTTGAAAACTTACAGATCTTTGTGCCAGGTAGCCTGGCAGGGGAGAAAACTATTATCCTGCAGTTGCTTAATACCGCTGCAGGAAAGGACTGTTCAAAAGATTCTGATGAGGTTGCAGGTGAACCGTTCCTACTTATGACAAAACATAGTGATAAAGATCATGAAGGTGATAACAGCTGGAGCACTTGGGAAGGACAGCCTGTCAAAATAGTCCCTCAGGTGGAAACTATTGATACACTTAGAAGTATGCAGGTAAAGATTTTCTATATTAGTATTTGAAGTTCTTTTTACTAGTTATTGTTTATAGACAATAAAGTTAAGAGATGCTCCTTTTCACAGCTAAAATATATCAGAAATATTAATAGACAGGGATGATAGGCACTTAAGAATTTAATGTTCTGGTTTTAGGCATTCTCAAAAGGTGTTTAATTTTTAAAAGATTCTTAAGTTGTAAAGAAAGAGCGTATTTGTTTCTGGAGATTTTTGCACCTATTGGTGGCAAATTAAAGGTTAGTTAATCCAAGATTTGCAACAGAATATGCCAAACATATTCCACAATCATTTTGAATATTCAAGCTCAGATAGGGCCAGTTGGGGGTTGCTACATGACATATGAACCCAGACAGTATAGGTTAGTCATGGTAAAACCATCCACAGTTAATGGGAGGATGGTTAATTGTTGGTTAACCATTGGTTGTTAAACCTATAATATCTCTATGGATTGGGCCCACTTTTCCCAAGATTTCATTCCAAGGTAAAAAATTTATACTCTGAACTAGAGGAAGAAGTGATGTAACAGAAATGTAAGGTTAATGAGTTGTAAGATAAGCCAAATGTCTGCTGAGAACCAGCCTATTTCTGGTAATTGGAATGGGGGCAGGAGACACACTGTAGAGTAGGGAAGGGTGTGAATTTCCAGTTCAGTGGTTCATCATCAAGTCAAGTGAGCAGACCATTAAGTAATGTCTGAAGTTCCTTCCATCTGGTCCACAAGCAGCACAAGTCTCCCTGAAGACAGAGCCACCTTCATTTGCAAGTGAGGGAAGGAGGTGAATTCAGTTTGAAATCAACCTCCAACGTGGGCAAGAACTAACTCTGCAAATTAGAGGGATCATCAGCTTGATAGATGTTTCTTGTTAATGACTTTCATATTTTATGCTCTATATTGTAAAACCAGCCTCAACTGCCCAGCCTAATGTAGTAAAGAGTGTGGTTAGTAGGCTTTCTGCCATGATCTTCTGGGAAAGGAAAGGGGAGAGACATGCTCATTTTAGCTTGATTCCAAGTTCCTTTCCCTTTGGCATTCTTCTGTTGTGATTATGGTTGAAGCAATCCTTGTAGAGAACCAGGCATTACAGAATCAAGTGAATCAGTTGGCTGCTGCCATCATGGCTCTTAAAGCAGATGAACTGGTAATTCCCTATCCCAGTACCCTGCAGAAAAAGTCCTGTGAGACCTATGGAAAAGTGTGATGATGATGAAGAACATTTGCCAACTTTTCAAGTTCAAGTAAAGTTATACATGCTGTTCAAGGCTGGAAGATTTTCCAAATGATGAAATGTGGGTTAGTTTAGCAGTCAAATTAATGGCAGGAGTTTCAGGGAAGTGGGTGACAGCACACTTGGTAGCCAGTCATCTCCTATTGGCTAATTATCAAGGATTTATGTATGCAATGGCAGCCCTTTTTGGGGGACACCCAACAGATTTGGACAGCTACTGGAGAGATCCATCATCTACAGCAAAGCTGAAGTCCTGCTGCTAAGTACACCAATCATTCCCAACTGGTGATGCAGTGCTCCCATGCCACAGAACTTAGAAGGCTTGAACAACAAAATTTTGACTGAACCGGTATGGGTTGAACAACCCCAGATTTTAGCTCTGTTGATTCAACTTTGTTTCCAAATACCCAGCTTGAGGCATGAAGATAAACTCAGGAGGGGTCCGCAAGTTGCAGTGCTGGCCCTCATGCTCTTCCCCATCTGGTGACCTTTCCCCCTTCAGCACCCCCCTGCCCTCAGATTCTGAACTTAAACAAATTGGTGCATTTAGGCCTAGGTTGCCAAGCAGAATATGAGCTTGGTTGGACTGTGGGATTGTACTACCCTGAAGGACAGATGGAGCATTTGGTAAGAATATGCCCAGTCCCTTAACCTCTTTCCATGAGGCTGGAAACCTTCATCTCCCAATTTATTTATTTATTTATTTGTGTGTTTATAACATTTCTATGCTGCACCCATCGCCGAAGCCTCGGGGCGGCTCACAAGGAAAACAAACAAAGCATAGAACAATATTAAAAATCTGGAGTTCTTGGCGATAATATAAAACCATTGAATAAAACACAGATTAACAATTAAAATAACTTTTAAATAAAAAGGTCTTGGCCTGGCGCCAAAAAACAAATAACGACCACACCAGGCGGACCTCTCTAGGGAGCGCATTCCATAGGTGGGGCGCCACCGCAGAGAAGGCTCCCCTCCGGGTACTCACCCTCCTAATATCCCTCACAGAGGGTTCCCGGAGAAGAGTCTCCCCCGCCGATCTCAGGGGGCGGGGGGGGGGCATATATGGACGCAAGTGCTCCTTTGATAGGTGCCATTAGCTTGGGAGGGTTCAAGGCACTGGGGAACAGTAAGGCATTGGAAATCCCATACCACTCTCTTAGGTACATTGGAAGCCTACCTAAGGACCCCCCAGGAGAGAGCCATGAAAGTTTGGTGGACCCTGGAGCCATAACAAATTTCATGGGCATTAGTTTTGGTAAACAGAACTGCTTTGTGACACTATGCTTAAGTCATCTCCTTGCTGTAGACAGACTGAAGGAAGACACAGTGGGATAGTTACGCACATTTCCAGCATCCTTACATTAATCATTCAATTAGAGAACAAATTCAATTTATCTGGCAGAGGTGCTGCAGTACCCAGCAGTGTTAGACATGACATAAATAGCCAAGCACAACTGTCGCATTTCTTTGGAGGACCGAAATGTACTATTCTCTTCTAATTTTTGCTGTCAACATTGCTGCCTTCTGACCAGCACCCTAGTGGCACAAGCAGTCTCCTTTCAGAACCCTTCTCCAAGTGATGGCAGCAAAACAGTTTCTCTAGTCACCCTCCCTGCAAAGTACCAAGAATTCAAAAATTACTGAGAAGGGAGACTGCTTTCTCTCACATCATATCATATTCACTATTGATTTAATCCCTATTTCTGAATTATTAGACCTATTGAGCAAAATTCAGATTTTCACCAAGCTGGATCTGTGATGGGCTTACAATTTAGAGTAAAGGAAGGGAATGAATGGAAAACTGCTTTCCACACTAGAAACAGCACTTTTGAATATCTGGTGATGCCTTTTGGATTGATCCAAAATGCATCCAAGTTTGTGCATTTCATGAAAGACTTTTTTGAAACTACTTAGACAAATAGCTCAATGATTTACTGATTTACTCCAATGCCCACAGCCAGCATGAATAAATATGCAAAAAACAGTGTTACGAAGACAACATGAATACCACATCTTTGTCAAGTTGGACAAATGTGCCTTTGACTTGGCAACCTTGACCTTTTTAGGATATAAAAATTCAGCTCAAGGCATTGAAACGGACCCAGAAAAAATCCCAGCCTGGGAGGCTCTGAGCACCAAACGAGAACTACAGAAGTTTCTAGGCTTTGCACATTTTTACAGAAAGTTTCTATCCAGTTATGCTCAGCTTACAGCTCCATTAAATGATCTGCTCAAAGGTAAGAAGACTCCCTTTCAATGGTCTCCCTGTGCTCAGCAGCTTTCTTTCTTTTTTTTTAAGCAACTGTTTAGTGCTGAGTCCATTTTACAATATTCTGACATGAACAAACCATTTGTTCTTCAAACTGACACTTCTGACCAAGTCTTGCAAAATGAATGGGGTGGGGGCAAGGATTTATAGCCCTGCATTTACTATTCTTGAAAATTAACTCTTTCTGAGCAGAACGATACCATTTAGGAAAAGGAACTCCTGGTGATCATCACTGCTTTGGAAACTTGGAGGCATTTACTGGAAAGAACTGACCGATAAAAGCATTGACCACTGCAATGACATTTGCACTGGCAGTAAAGATTGAGAGCATGTAGACCATGTAACTGCCAAACAATTAAATCAATGGGAGATTCAGTGGACTTCCTTCTTTTCCTGGTTTCATTTTGCTAAATCCCCGCTTCTCAGAGCAAACTGGCAGATGCTCTCTCATAAACAACAGCCCTCATTCTTTGCCCAGCAAATTTAGCTGCTCTGAGCTCCTCCCACTCATGGCTCAGTGACTGGTGCCTCAAAAGCAGGGTGACCCTTTTGTGTGGAGGCAAAACTGACTGGCTTGGCTGGTGCGGGAGCCTGGACAGTGGGTCTCCCTTTCTCATGTGAGATGGCCTTTGCACACATTTGCAAAGTGCGTACGTCCCTTCTTAACAGTTGAGGAAAAAAAGTACTGTATTAGTGTCATGACTCCCCTAAAGGAGGACATTTTGGATGTCCTTGCATACAGTTAACCTGCAATTTTTGATGGCCCAGGATGGCACGATTGATGGGCATTCCTGTGCCATTTGCCAGCACATAAGCAACCAGCAAGAAAGCCTGTGGAATTTCTGCAGCCTCTACTTGTTTCCCTAGGACTGTGGGAGATTCTGTCCTTGAATTTTGCTGGTAATAGATTTGTTCACAAAGATAGCCCATTTTATTTCCTGCGAGGCATTGCACCCTGCCCGGATGACAGCAGAGCTAGTTGTGCATCATGTCTTCTGTTTGCAAGAATGTCATGATGTGGTCATCTCAGTTTCATGGCACATTCTGGTGTGAGTTCCTCTGTATCCTGGAGGTGGCTTTTGGTTGCTGTCAGCTCATCCTCCCCAGAGTTATAGACAAACTGAGCACATTAACACACCTCTGGAATGATATTTGTATTGCTGCATCAGTTCTCAGTAGGCAATTTGGTATCTGTTTTGCTGTGAGTAGAATTCACTTATAGCAATGCCCCACACTCTTTCACATGTCAGAATCCTATTATTTGCCCTTTTTTTTTTGCTAATTATTTGTTAATTTTGGCTCCCACCCCACGTCTTACTTTAAGCTACATCCTGGCTCAGTGCCAGCAGTCACTGGAACAGTGAACTGGTCTAAATTCAATTGCAAAACTGCTGCTGTTCCCAGGCGGGTATGGATTGGTGCATGGGGGCCTAGGTCTGGCTGTTTACTCAGTATCTTTTCTCCCACTCTCCTAGTAAGATGCTCAGTGCTTGTCCCGTGGGGCAGTTTAAAATTTGATGCAAATTCAACTTCATGGCATTCAAGCTGCTGTTGCCCCATTCATGAATGGTTTTTCACCATTCTCTCCTGTCACCTTTGGTTGCCAAGTTCCCTCATCACTCACTCACTCACTCCTCTGCATCTACCTCCTCTCAGAGGAAGAGTGGGATTGGAATGTGTAGTAAAAATGCTAAAGTTAATGAGCTGTGAGTTAAGCCAAGTTGCTGGTGAGAACCAGACTGCCTCTGGTCCACAGAGACACAGTGCAGTACAGGGAGGGGTTGGGGGGAGGGTGAATGTATCAGTCCAGTGCTTCATTGCCAAGTCAAAGACGTAGATTGATTACGTAATGACTGGCATTCCTGCTCTCTAGCCATGAGCAGCATGAACCTCCCAGAGGGTTGACCCAGGATACAAGGGCAATTCAGTTTGGAATCAGTTTCTGACATGGGGGCAATTCAGTTTGGAATCGGTTTCTGACATGGGCAAGCTTTAAATCCACAAATTAGTGGGATTATTAACTTGATAGATATTTCTTGTTAAGAATTACAAGAATTTTACTCACTCTGTATTACATAGTCAGACACGACTGCCCTGCTTAATGCAGCAAAGGACTATAGTAGAAGCCTTTTGCCTTCGTCTCCTGGAAAGGAAAAAGGAGAGAGATGTTCTCATGGCAGTATCTGGGTTCAGATGTTATATCACGCCCCCTCTTGGCCAGATCAGTATGAATATTCAAAATGACCGTGTGGAACATGGCTGGCACATACTACCACAAATCATGAGTTAATGGGACAGTTTGTCACATTTAGGTGCGAACCAGGCTCTTTGTCTTGCAGAATACGTGACAAATAAATTGCCAGTATAATCGTCAAACAAATTAGAGGCTGTGATCAAGTGTTTTCAGCATTTTACTATTCTGATTGAGAAACTTTGCCATCCTGTTCAAACGCCAAAATCTCTAACATCTTTTGTTTGTGTGCACGCCTATATGTGTATAAGTATCATATGTTTGTATGAGTAAGAGATAGACTGAGACCATGTTATGATAGGTTGATAGTATTGTTGATAGGTTCAGGAACCTGGTCTCATGGCACTGGGGATTCTTCTTCCTCAGCAAGTATCCTCTAATGCAGACTTCCCCAACTGGGGCTCTGACTGATGCATTGGACTACAACTCCCAGGTTCTTAACCATTGGCTGAGGTGGTTGGGGCTGATGAGAGCTGAAGTCCAAAACATGTAGAAATGATGTGGCAGGGATATCTACCTTTGTACATATAATGGGGCTAATCTGTCACAGAGACTGGTTTTCCCTTCTGGGATTGTCACATAATTGACTATGCAGAGCATTGAAGGAAGTTTCTTAAAATACAAAAAGTATAATTGCAGACATTTTCCATAATTTGGCAATGTTGTACAAAGGCGAGGAGTACTATTTTAAATATTCCAGGGTCTAGGAGGTACTATTTCACAGTAGCCATTACTTAATGCATTGGTACATGCAGCAGCACCATAAATTGACCTTGTATTCCTAGGTTGATAACCTCCTCCTTGTAGTCATGCAGCCTGTTCATCTTGTGAACCAGAGAAAGGCTTTCCAACAGATTCTTGAAGGGCTCATCTCTTTACATCAGGAACAAACATCCAGCCAACCTATCATTGCCAAAGCTTTGCAGCAACTGAAGGTACACACTTTTGGGTTTATTAGCTTCTGGCTTGTTGATCATTATTACAAGAGATCTAATGATTTACTGAGCCTTACTATTTATAAAGTGATCTGAAATAGATGGTTAGCCATTGCTTTTGTGCTTCCGTACAATCAGCTGAGCATGATAAATATAAAATGCTGTATATATTGCATATATAGATTAGGAAGACATGCTTATAATATGGTAAATATGAACAATTTCCCAAAAATGTGAATTGTAAATAATGACATTTCCATTGGAATGGTATAGCAGAGAACTGAAATAAATTGATGAGGGTAGTCTCTTCCTAAAAGGATTTGACTTTTGCAATTATAATGTATGCTTATAAATGTTTGGGCCAGTGCTCCAGATTTCCATTTATTGCACATGTAAAATCCATTATTCTTAGATTTGGACAGCACTGGATCCTACAAATGTGCTGGTAATGGTAAGATTGCCCAGTCCAGGAACAAAAAACCTGTGTGTTATTTTTTATTTACCACCTTTCTATGCTGACCACTATGTAAAGCTTTCTGGGTGCTTCACAAAAGTTAAAATAGAAAATTTCAATATGGAGAGTATGCAAAAAACAAACAAACATGGGGAGTATGCAACATTACACATAGAGTACATTCGTGTTCATTTCGGCTTTGTGTAGAGGGTGCAGACACCTCCAAGTTTACCAGTGGTAAATAGATATATGTGCTGGGAAAAACCCACATCATGCTTCTGGTGAAGGAGGTTATTGTTAGACACTCATGGCACAATACACAGTGCTATGTGTCTATTCAGTAGTAAGTCCCTTTGAATTCAGTGAAATTTACTTCTAGGTAAATAGATATGGGATTGCAGCCTAAAGTACCCAAGATCCTGGTAAGTCATTTAGGACAGAATCATCAAGTTTGGACAGAATCATGTGTCCTTGCAATGACTTTTCAACCAAGATTTTTTCCCTATTTTTGCAGAGTGATGCTTTGCTGCTATGCAATAAGATAAGCTGTGCAATTGGCAAAGTTGATTCTATGTTCACATCTGAATTTGATGCAGAGGTTGATGAATCAGAATCAGCCACTTTGCAGCAATATTATCGGGAAGCCATGATTCAGTGTTTCAACTTTGGTTTTGAGGTAAGTTTAGAAGAGATTTCTTGCCTAGTTTTTCCACAGAGCATGGTTACTGAAAAATTCTCCTGTCATTTCAAAAGAAAAGAAGCTATATTTAATACAGGTTTATTCTATATTTTCTAAACGCCTGCAGATTGGATTGTTGCTTTTCACTTGAGGCACTTCTGGAAAGTTGACGTGTAGCATTGCCTAATGTAAAGCAGAAGAGTGGGTAAATCAGTACAATTGCTGCCATTACATGCAAAAACAGAAAATATAGAGAACTTGGAATATATTTTCCTTGGTGTGACTGTTCTGTTAAAAGTTTAAGCTGTGTGCTGACAAATCAACATTGAACACTGTGTAGCAAGAGCACCATAATGAAAGAGAGAAGAGAACCAATTCCATGTGGTTCTCAACCGCATTCATCAATCACAGCTCTTCTCTAAATACCATGTACTGCGGCATCATTGGTGTGAGAGTGATTTTACACTTCTTTTGGTTGGCCATGGGAAATGCTTTAGGATGGCAGAGAGATTCCAGCAATATCTACTTTTTCAGTTACACGTGGCCTTCTAAAGATGTTGAATCTCATTTTATGGTTTTATGTTATTTAGCCTTGCAATTTTATTTTGCTGTGCATACAAACAAGACTTTATATGCAAGTTGTTACATAGATAAATCTCATGTATTCCTAGTTTCTTTGAGTATCTATATCAATTTTATTATGGATATTAATAATTAGAGATATTATTATCTCTTTAGCTGTGTTTCAGCATTTGGTAATCATGCTATAGGATTTTAAGGGATAAAAATGCTTTTGCAGCAAGCAGCTATTCTAATGGTTAAAAATAGCAATATTTATTTCAATGCCTTGAAGGATAATTTTAATGCATTGTAGTACCATAAAGAAGTCATTCGCCTGATGTCTGGAGAATTCAGACAGAAAATTGGAGACCAGTACATCAGTTTTGCACGAAGGTGGATGACTTATGTCCTTACTAAATGTGAGAGTGGTCGAGGCACCAGACCCAGGTAACGAACAGACACTATTTGGTATCTTTGGCCACTTTTGTCTCGGAGATCTTGTGTATTTAAAAAGACAGAGCAGTGTTACTCCCTTGATCATTTTGAGGATTATGATTATCCTCAGCATGAATGCTGACCATCACAAGATTTAAGTGACCTTAGATAAACATGACTGTCAATGTTTCAGATTATTCAAAGGTTTCCAGGTGACTGTGATGGCAGGAGAATGAGGACAGGATTAAGGAATTTACACAATTTAGTTAGCCTTGTTTGGTAGACCCAAACATGGAATGTGATGTTCATCATATCACTCTTAGTGTAATGTCCTGGTGAAAATCAAATAATCATTATGTGAGCTTCTTCCTGTATAGAGCAGGCACTGCACATGTGCCTCTAAAACAGGCTTCCCCAACCTGGTGTCCTCCAGTTGTGCCGGATCACCACTCCCATCATTTGCAGCCAGCATGACAATGGAAATTATAGGAGTTGAATCCAGGTTGAGAAAATACTGTTGTAAAGCAACTGTCACAAATATTAGTTTATATAGCTTGCCCAGGGCCACCTGTGAAATGTGATGATACGTGTTTGTATTTGGTTGGTGTTGTATGGAAGGACTCATTTTAATGTTGCAGTGATCATTATAAAAGGACTCATCTGACATGGCAAAAAGGGGCAGAAAGTTAGTTTGTACTGTGACACACTCAGTAAAAAATTATCTTTGGGTGTATTGTGTCTGTAGTGTTCTGTCTATGCTTAAGTTCACCAAACATTACAAGGCATAATCTCAGTCCGGGCCTTCCCTGTCCAGTCATTATTATAGGTCATTTTTTCTAGTATTTTTCGTTCTGTTTTGCAATTCTTTCCCCTTTTTGTAAACAGAAAAAAATCACCTTACAAGGTTAGGCTGAGGTATAGTAGCTTGCAAGTTCATCTGATTTTTTTAAAAAGCATCACTAATTAAAAGTGCTAGGATTACAGATTTCTTTCCTATGAAAAATACAGCTTCAGGGAACAGATTCTTGGGGTAGGCTTTGTTGTATACTTGCATAATGTTTAGAAAGGCAAGATTTTTATGTAGCATAGCAACAGAGATGTTTTCCCTCAATAAATAGAACTTCTTATATAACTATTTCTGGTTAACAAATAACATCTTTCTGCTCAACAGGTGGGCAACTCAGGGTTTTGATTTTCTTCAAGCCATTGAGCCAGCCTTTATTTCAGCTCTGCCTGAAGATGACTTTTTGGTATGTCATTAACCTCTTTTACATTTTAAACTAACAAATGTAATTAACTGTATGGGAAACAAGGAATTGGTAACTAACTGGGAAAGAAGATTACTTGTGAGCTTTCATCCAACTTATTAATCTGTGTTCCTAGGTTATACAGTTCTGTTAGAGCAAGTGCTAATTAAGACACTGGCATTTATTCTTCCAATGCTGCTTGCTTTCTGTTTTCTAGAGTTTACAGTCACTGATGAATGAATGTATAGGCCATGTCATCGGGAAACCTCACAGTCCTGTTACAGGTTTGTACCTTGGTAAGGCAGCAACTACAGTCTACTCCTCTGGAACTTTACTGCTGTAATGTATAGAAATGTAAACTTAATTGTAAGTCAATTAAGTTTGCTACTCTAAAACACTTAGTGGTTACAAAAAACACATTTGTGTGTGCTATATTAATGCAATTATAGTTTGCCCTTTCTGAAGCGGCCAAAGTGGCTGAGGACATGAACAGTCAGCATCAACAATTCATGTAAAAACACCCTTTAAGTCTACACTCCCTATGTTCTATTAAGCCAACATAGCCCATCCGTCATGTATTGTGAGTGCTTGAAATACTCCCCGCTCCCATCGAGAAGTATAAACAATCAAAACCTTGGAGGGTAGGCTTCATTGTGCTGGATGGTTCCCACCATCTGCAAACCTGTATGTCCTTGAGAAGCCTTCAGGCAGGTTGTGTCACATGCAGCATTTGCTCCACAATTGGCTGTGGCTTCTCCTACAGGAGAATGTTTGTGCTAGGTTTTGCCTTTGTTGAGAAATGCCAATATTACTATGAATTGAACAGCTATAAAGCAAAAGCATCAAAGTGACAGAGTACCTAATGCACTGTCTGGTGACTAGTGGCTGATCTTGAATGGTTCCTAATGGACCTTTGCCTAGTGTAGTGAAGAAATAATGGCTGTACTGGGAAATGAAAGAAGGAAACTTAAAACTGTGGTGTTCGTGATCATCAGACTTGGACTGGAAGAGTGAGTGATTTTCATTCAAACAAGTCCATGTTCAGTATGAAAGTTTATATCTGTAGTTATGTTGAATAAGCAAATCAACCCTCCAAAGTTGGAGTTTTCTTGCAGCTTCTTATTTTTGCCAACTTTACCCCCTAATATTCTATGCTAAACTACCTTAAAAAGTAGAAATAAATTACTTTATTGGCACTGCCTTTTCATGGCTCACTAGATCTTCAGAGTACTCGCTTGCTTAACTTGTGGTGATCCATTTCATAAAGTCTGCTTCTCCTGGTCTGGCACTAAATCTGAAATCAAGATACCTTGTTCTTATGTAACAGCAAGCCACTGTAGGTGAATATCCCTACAGGACTTGCCTTTTTGTATTTTGAAAATTCAAGCCATATGGGGTGTGCTGCAGCTTGTTGTGTGAACCTCACAAGGATGGTTTTTGGGGGCAGTTAATCTACTCAGAACACATGACCTGTTTTAAGGTTGTTGGTGGCTTGTTAACCACCCCAATGATCCCACCCTCACCGAGTTCACATGTAATGACAAGCCAGGACAAACTTGCTCTGTGACTTGGTATTTCAAAATGGCAACCAGTGTTGCAGTGAGAAGCTTTCTAGGGAAATGTACCCTTGATAGCTTCTCATTACATGCAAACCAGTCCATGGTGAACTGTTGCAGTTTCTTCCTCTGCAGTCAGATTGCATGAATTGGCTCTCAGTAATAATACTGCTGCATCCCTGTGCCATGCCTGTATTCATTGTTGCTTTAAACCTTCCGAATGATCTCCCGTTGTCTCTTTCTGTTTGTAGCTATTCATCGGAATAACCCCCGACCTGTGAAAGTACCTCGGTGCCATAGTGATCCTCCAAATCCTCACCTCATCATCCCAACGCCTGAAGGGTTCAGGTATTAAAAGCCTTTCCAGACCTTTATTTCTTATGTTCTTCTTCATGGTCTCTGTGGATCACACATATGGGCTGTGTGCCTGCACGGGGCCTGTTGTCAGAGAGATGGAGATTCCCCAGCTAAGCATTTTGATGGGAACAGCAGTAGCAACCTGCCACTCTCTAGATGAGAAGCAGGGAGACTAGCTTGCACATCTCTTGTCTAGACAAAACTGTTTCTGAAGCAGTTAGGTCAACTTCCTGAACCTTTCTGTCAAGCCCACAAAATTCTTGCACATACATGCACACCATGGAAAAAAGCCATTGACCTCCAACCAGCCCAGCAGTAAAATTTCTCACTAATTTGAGCACTGGGTGATATGTGGTAGCCTCTAGTTGAATATTGTCTGTGAGATCACCTCGTGGGAAATGACAGAACTCTTCTCCCTCCTCCTTCATGCCTGAATCATTTTTAAACTTTTATTTTGTTTATTACTCTTTATTTTTATTGGGTTTTTTGTTCTCCACAGAAGGTGATTCACCAATATGCTACTATGGTGCTGGAGCTATGGCTTTTCTGTTTTTTGCCTTTTGATTTACAAAAAAACAGCAAGAGCAAAGTAGTGCTTTCTCTCCCCACTTTCCAGTTCTCTACCTTAACATCCTATCATTTCTGGCAGCTTCATTCCTTTTCTACCTGTCTGTGCTTTCTTTCCCCCTCCAGAGCAACATGACTATTATCCAAATAGATGCATGCTCCAAAATCCATCAGTGAGAACAGGATGGCATATTCCTGATGCTGCATCAGTATAAGCACTAGTAAAATGCTACTGATAAAAAAATGAAATTTCTTAACAGTCAGGACCCAGGAAGTGCCGGAGTGCACGCAGTGGAGCTTCTGTTGTGCTGCTTGTTTTGTTTATATGCAGATATGTGCACCCATATATCTGTGATACTGCTGCTTCTCTATAAGTCATGAAAGTTAGTGGAACATGGTAGCATCTTAGAAAGCAGAGGGTTGAACTTTGTCACTCCACATCTATACAGATTTTCGCTAGAAAATTAAACCAAGTTTTTCCTTACAAGCCTGTCATAGTATGTGATCCAACTCAAATATAATTAACAAGGCACTTTTGAAGGGGTTCCTACTCTGCATTATCTTATTTCCAGTTTTACTTTCAGGACACCATATTTCTTCGTCGTGGCCTCTGTGCATCACACATATGGGTACTGCGCCTGCGCAGTGCCTGTGGCCGGAAGATTGACAGCTTACAGTTTTTGGCAGGAAGCTCTGCTCCCCCTCCCCCTGTGGCCTATAAAGAGCGGCGCGTCTGCCATTTTGTTCAGTCTTTGCGACCGCCATTCACTGTGCCTTGTGCCGCTTTCGACTTTCGCTTAGAGCTGTTACCTTGCTCTCGATTGTCCTTCTTTCCCAGTTTTTTCTTCTAAAAAAAAAAAAAACCTTGCTCCCAGTTCATTGTTCCTCGTAGTTTTTCTCTTGTTATTTCTACTTTCGATCTGTCTATCTGAAAACACACACACACACACACACACACACACACACACACACACTTACCCCTCTGCACTATCCCTCTCTTCTTCTTCTTCTGCGATGGCGCAGCGAGCGGCTTTCCGCAAATGTGCGGACTGTGGGTCAAAAAACCACCTCCGGAGACTCCTTTGGAATCGGGCTTTGATGCAATCAGACCCACTTGTTGCCATCCCAAAACCTGGCTCCACTTCTGTAGCCCCACCCTCTTGGCCTTCGGATGAAGGTGCATCTGCTTCGGTGGCTCCCTCTGCTTCACCTAAAAAGAAGCATGGAAAGCGGAAGCATGCCGAATCCTAGAAGTCGGCAGGCCATAAACAGGCCAGGAAGGAGAAGGTCTCCAAGCCTCCCAAGAAACCCAGGAATTCAGACCGTCCGGACCGTCCCCGACATCGGGACTCGGATCCAATGGGCCCCTCGGTACCAGTGGCGCTTACGGTACCAACTCCGCCCGAACCAGTCCTCCAGGAGGCTATGTGGGTTACCCCTCAAGGGTCTCCCCACCGTGTGGTTGACCTCCCGCCTGCACCCCTTCCAACTCTATGGGGTTCAATATAATATCTGACAGGGAAATCCAGGACTCCCCTCCTAGGGCGAGGTCACCGACACCCATGCCCGCGGTCACAATGGAAGCGGACGTTGGACTGTCCCCACCGGGGAGCCGGAGGAGCCGCTCTGTAGAGCAACATCCGGAGATCTGGCGTCGCCCCTACTACCATACTTGGGGTGATCCGCTCTCCGTAGGGTACTACCCTGCTCCCAGGGCACGATCCTCTCCTCCATCCCGTGGCCAACCGCGCTCTTTGGATCCGAGGTGGGCGTCACCTCGATCCCCACAGGGTGGAAGCAGCCACTCCTTCTCCCCAGTGGAGTCATCATCTTAGACCCCACCCTACTACGGTGCCGATTCGGCCGACTCGGAGGTCGACTCAACCTCTCTGGACGTCACTGTGACATCCCAGGGTCCTGCGTCGCCTGATGAGTCCCACGTCTCCTTCGTGGAACTGATGTCTAGACTTGTCCAGTCCCTGGACATCAACACTGCCCAGCGCCCGGGACTGACGACGGACAAGTTCTACGATGTCGTCCGCGGGGAGCAATTGACATCCATCGTCCTGCCGCTCATAACCACCTTGCGGCAGGTGATGACGCAGCCCTGGGACCTGCCATCACATCCTCAGCCAACGTTCAGGAGATATGCGTCGATGTACAGGGTTCGGGAGGAGGACAACCCCTTCCTCCTCCAATATCCCAAACCGAACTCTGTCGTCATCAAATCCTCACAGGGCAGAGAGGGGAGAGGGCACACGGCACCGAGGGATAAAGAGGGCCGAAAAATAGACTCCCTGGCTAGGCGAGTCTATGCTGCTTCAGGCCTGGGGCTCCGTATATCAAACTACAAGGCGACGTTGGTGAGGTATCAATACTTTATTATGCAGCACCTGCACAACGTCGCCTCCACCCTCCCGGACCACCAGGGTGACCTCGTGAAGGTCCTGATTAAGGAAGCCATGCAGGTTGTGGTGCAGCAGTTATCCACGGCGAGGTCGGTGCCGTTTCTCTCCGAAGGCATGCATGGCTTCGGAATTGTAATTTTCCGGAAGATACCAAGCGCTGGATCGAGGAAACGCCTTTCGATGGATCCAGGCTTTTCCATTCTCGCACCGACCACAGGCTCAAGAAACTGCATGAATCGAGGATGACAGCACACAGGATGGAGATACAGTCCCATGCCAGACGTAAGTGGTCCTGGAATCGTCCATCCTACAGGCAATCATATATCAACCGAGGCAGCAGCCACAGCACTGCCAGCAACAGCAACAGCAGCGCCACCTTCCTCAGCCCCAACAACGCTTCCAACAAGGCCGCCGTCGTTTCGACGATCAGAGGCAACGTTGACGGGACTGGCGAACCATTCCTCATGCTCCACCAATACCCACCCCCCTCTCATCTGGGGATCGGCTTCGAAGCCGACTCCCCATTTGGGAGTCCATCACATCTGATCAGTGGGTATTTTCCATCGTTCAACACGGCTATTGAATAGAATTCGACATCGTTCCTCCGTCGAGTCCGATCCGGTCCACTTCATGTTCACCGGTACTGCTCGACGAAATACATCAACTTCTTCGTAAAGGAGCGGTTCATCAAGTATTCCCATCTGACGGACTCCACGGATTCTCTTCCAGATGCTTCACGGTCTGTAAGCAGGATGGTGGTCTACGTCCGATTTTGGACTTACAGAACTTAAATAAGTTTATTGTACCAAAAAAGTTTTGTATGACTACCCTTCAAAACATTTTGCCGTTGCTAAGGAGAGAGGATTGGTTTGCCTCATTGGACTTGAAGGACGCCTACTTCCATATTTCAATCCACCCAAGTTACAGGTGTTTCCTTTGTTTTGCGATTGCAAACCAACTTTATGAGTTTACAGTTTTGCCTTTTGGACTGGCTACGGTTTTGAGGGTTTTTACCAAGTGCATGGGTCCTGTCTGTGCCTTCCTACGCCTCCAGGGCATACAAATTTATCCGTACCTCGATGACTGGCTGTTGGTGTCGCAGTCCAGAGAAGGACTCCTTGCGGCCATCCATACGACTTGTGCCTTGCTCAATAGCCTAGGCCTACGTATTAATACCAAGAAATCTTCTCTTCTCCCGACACAGATGCTCACCTTCATTGGAGCCCGCTTGGATTCGACGTTGGAAAAAGCCTTCCTCCCTCAGGACAGACAACAGACTCTTGCTCGCCACATCCATCGAATCCGACGAGAGGGAACGGTCCCGGCAAGGTCTATCCAGAGGATCCTGGGGCATATGGCTTCCTCAATTGCTGTAGTTCCACATGCCAGGCTTCGGCTTCACCCACTGCAACCCTTTTTCAACAAGGTATACCATCCTCAAAGAGATCCGCAGTCGAGACTGATTCGGATCCCAACTTCCGTGCTTCACTCTCTGCGTTGGTGGTTGGAACAGACCAATCTTATGATAGGAGTCCCCTTCAGGGCGCGACCTCCTATGATTACCCTTGGCACCGACGCGTCTCTTCTAGGATGGGGAGCGGTATGCTCCGGCCTATCTACCCAGGGTACGTGGAATCGTCTAGAATCCACGAATCATATCAACTTCCAGAACTACTGGCAGTTTTCAAAGCCCTGCGCTCTTTCGAGGACATCCTTCATCATCAGATCGTTCAGATAACTTCAGACAATATAGCTACCGTCTTTTATCTGAACAAGCAAGGGGAACAAAGTCACCAACTCTAGCCAGGCTTTCTATGAAAATTTGGGACTGGTGTATCCGGAGACACATCACGCTGATGGCTGTTCCTCTAGCTGGTGTAGACAATGTGCAGGCGGATCTTCTCAGCAGGCACATGTTCACCTCTCACGAGTGGGAACTGGATCCCCGTACGCGCAACCACCTTTTCCGGCGCTGGGGGTTTCCCGACGTGGACTTACTCGCTACCCAACAGAACAGGGTGTGCGAGGCTTACTGTTCGAGAGCGGGAATCGGACACGCATCCCTAGGGGACGCATTCATGATCCCTTGGAACAATATGAACTTCTACGCCTTCCCTCCGATCCCTCTTCTGATGAGGGTCATAGCAAAGATAGTACACGACCGAGCATCGGGGAACCTAGTTGCCCCTTGGTGGCCACGTCAAGCGTGGTTTGCGAAACTACTTGACATCTCTCGCAGGGAATTTCTTCATCTTTCATCGCTCCCATATCTTATAACACAGGTGGGCGACACACTTCTCCACCCGGATTTGCTCTCATTGAACATACAGCATGACGAATTTGATGATTGACGTTCCATCGGTGCCGATGACGGTTTCGAAAGTTACGAATCCGACAGCTTCTACTAATCTGTCATTACCGACGATGACTTCGACCACCTCAGATCCGATTGTTGAACCCAATCACTGGGGTGCTTCCCCCCTCTCTGGTCTCTCTGTACTATCCAGTTTGAGACAAGACCCGTCGAATCCGACGTTTTTGCACCCTGATATTCAGCATATCATCGACTCTGCCTTAAAGCCGTCCACAAGGAAGTCATATAAGGCTAAATGGAAACGTTTTTCCACCTTTGCCGAGTCGCGTTTGTTCTCTCCATTCCTCTCATCCATTCAACAGATTCTTCAGTTCCTCCTGGAATTGCACCATTCCGGACTGAAGCCGTCGTCCATTAAAGTGTATACAGCCGCAAAAGCCTACTACCGTGGATTAGTCGACGGATCACCTCTGTTTTCTCTTCCTATCCTCAAAAGATTTTTGAAGGGACTATATAATCTTAACCCATCAATTAGACCAGTTATGCCCACATGGAGCCTCTCTGTAGTTCTACAGGCCCTTATGAAGGCCCCCTTCGAACCTTTGGCGACGGTGGATCTTCAATTGGTCTCTTGGAAGACGGTGTTTCTTGTAGCTGTCACTTCAGCCCGGAGGGCCAGTGAATTTTGCGCACTTCGCATAGACCCTCCTTATTTAAACTTTCACAGGGAGAAGGTCGTTCTATGCCTCGACCCATCTTTTTTGCCTAAAGTGTCTACACCTTTCCATACGGGACAAGACATTGTGCTGCCTGCCTTTTTTCCGTCACCGTCGACTCCATTGGAAAGATCTTTGCATTCACTCGATGTTCGCCGTTGCTTAGCTAGGGATCAGGGCGAGCCAGTCACTCCGCAGAGACTTTCTAAGTGGATAGTCCACACTATAGTCTTATGCTATCAATTAGCTAAGCTCGAACTGCCTTCAGTTCCTCAAGGCCATTCTGCTAGAACTGTTGCAACCTCATCTGCATTCGCATCCGGGGTCCCGATTGATGACGTCTGCCGAGCCGCTACTTGGGCGAACCCTTGCACCTTCGCCAGGCACTACCGTCTCGATGTTCGAGCTCAACGGGACTGCTCCTTCAGTAGAGCTGTTCTCTCCTCCGTTCTTCAATGCGGACACCTTCCCTCCTCCTTTGTGGCAAGCTTGTTCATCTACCCATACGTGTGATGCACAGAGGCCACGATGAAGAAAAGCAGGTTGCTTACCTGTAACTGATGTTCTTTGAGTGGCCATCTGTGCAGTCACACAACCCACCCGCCGGCCCCGCTCGGTGTCGGTGAGTGGATCCATCGACCGCTCGGTGTCGGTGAGTGAATGCTTCTTTCGGTACCGACTATGCCCTTTTTCACGGTACCGACATCAAAAAAAAACAACAACAACAAAGTTTTTTCAATAAGATAGCGTACGTTCGGTCGCAAAGACTGAAAAAAATGGCGGATGCTCTGCTCTTTGTAGGCCACAGGGGGAGGGGGAGGGGGAGCGGAACTTCCCGCTAGAAACCATAAGCTGTCAATCTTCCGGCCACAGGCACTGCGCAGGCGCAGCACCCATATGTGTGACTGCACAGATGGCCACTCGAAGAACATCAGTTACAGGTAAGCAACCTGCTTTTATAGATAGATCCTTTGCATGCTAGGCACCACCTAAATTCTCAGCTGTAAAAGCAATTTTAGAAAGTCATGACTGAAACATGATCTGGCCCTACATCTATTTAGAGCTCAAATCATGTAATTTTTAAACTAATGGCTTGCTAGATCTTTCCAGACTGCTGTTTGAAATCACCATGTTTTAAAAATCCATTTAGAAATGGATTCTAGACCCTTTTCCTGAAGCTGTTCTTCTCACTGCAGCACAAGGACTCTCCCATGTGATGTACGGAACCACTGCAGCCCTGCTCTTAGTCGCCCCACTCCTGTCAGTGGTGACTCAGCTCAGCCAAAACCTGTCAGCAGTGCAAATGATATCAGGTAGCTCCACTCCACAACGTAGCAGACTCATTCCTATTCACGTCCCTCATATAAACTGCTTGCACTTAGATCCCAGTAGTTTGTTTTGGCTTCCCATTACTTTGTGTGTTACTTTCTTGGTTCCATTCAGGTTGCAAAAATTTTTTAAAAAAATACTAAGTGCATGTTTTTTATTCAACTATTTAAAAAATGTTTGACCATGCATGCTTGAGAGCAAATTATAGGTTTGGTTTGTTCTAGTATCATTAACACATAGAGTTCACTTCTGTAGTTCCATTGCAGTTTTATAGTAGCTAGTTGTGACCAAACTTACTTTGAAAAGAGACTGTAATCAATATAGATGGAAGTTCATTTTCTAAAAATTCTTCCTGTGAGCAGTATATATTTAGTAAAACTTGTTTACTAATTTAAAATGCTTCATTTTCAAAAGATTTAGTAAAATCTTTAAAAACCAAGAATTGATGACAAATCCACCATATGCACAGTACACATGTACTACCATGATGATTTACTTATCTTTGTAGTATCCCATATCTCAAAGAATAGAAAACAAAGTACAAGCAAAACAACTGTGCCTGGGACATCAATACTGACATCTTTGAATTATTTGTTTTGCTGGAATTTCAATTTTAATTTCCAAAGGCATACAGTTATCACATGACACCAAGGTTTTCATCCTGTCTCATTTACGTAGTTTTCTAAGAGAGAGGATGTACAGAGGAGGAGCGGGAGAGAGATGACATTTACATTACCCTACCAGTTCCTCCAATTGCTGTTCATGTGTCAGGCTTTGCTGTAGCGTATGGCTGCAAAGAACCTGGGCCATCACCTTCAAAGAGGATTGTTGATTGGTTTATTTCATGTAAATGCAACTGAATGGTACACATATATGCAAAGGTTCCCTTGTTTCTTCCCAAATATTGAATAGGTTATTTTCTAAAAATTAAAAATAATCAGACTTGAATATAGGTGAGAATATGAAAATTTCATTTGCTTTCCTAATATGTGACTTTCATTAATATACTGGGCCATGGCTACTTTCACTTCATTTAAACTTCCAGTGTTGTGACACTTTAGAAAGGTGGGGACTGGATGTCCTACTTAATGAGCACTGGTACCTGTTGTTTTTAAACAGGGGTTCAAGTGTCCCCGAAAATGATCGACTGGCTTCAATCACAGCTGAGCTGCAGTTTAGATCATTAAGCCGCCACTCAAGTCCCACTGAAGAACGTGAAGGTGATTGCTTTTAAAATACTATGTTTATGCACTTACTCCCAAAATACACTCATTGTCATCTTGAAATAAGGTTCTGCCTAACTTTCAGTATGACCTTTTCATGCCAAAATGCATATGGAGAACCTAGCAACTTTGAAACTAGCTTTGTGTACATTGCTTTTATGGTAGAGCTATATAATTTCCTGAAACATGTTGGACTCTGGAATAAAGGACTTCTCTTATCTATCTTACTGCATTTTGCTTTGTAGTGACCTATATTGGGGGTTCCAATTTGATAGATTCCGATTTATTTTAAAGCTCAAGTCTTGAGAAATCAGTCCTGTAGTCAGTAAAACCAAATAAGGAGAGATACGGCTGGGGAACCAGTAGCTTATCTGAGCGTTCTGGTGATTATTTATTTATATCCTGCCTTTTTCCTTCCAAGGAATTCAAGGCAGCTTATCTAATGCGCCTTTCCTGTCAATCTTATCCTTACAAAAAGAACCCTGCGAGGAAGGTTGGGCAGAGAGTTTGTGTCTAGCCCAGAATCACCTAGTGAGCTCTATTACTGAGTGGGGACTAGAACCCAGATCTCTTGAGCCCCAGTCCTGCACTCAACTTCTCAAAAATTAAAGATTAAAAAGTGTCTTTGTTAAATCCTAAAAAGCAAGAAGTGATGGAGACTTCCTGAGGAGGTTATATTTGTAGACTAAATATAAGCACCACTCCTGAGAAGTTTGCACATGATTACTTCAGACATTTTGGCAAAACGATTAAAAACAAACTCTCTGGGAAGAATTTAATATGGGAATTTCCCTTATTTGGATTACTTCAGCAAGTTTACATGACCAGTCCAGAACTTGCCAATTCTACTCTTTGGGCCTGTTCACATATAACACTAAGCAGTACCATGAAGTTAAATTTTCTTACTCTTTATCCTGTATTCACACATCTGCAAGGGAAGTTTCCATGCACTGCCTCCAAATGGCAGGCCCTATCCCAGCAGCCCCCACAGCTGGAAGTAATTCCCAGTATGCATCACTCCATGCGGGCATCCACTTGCAAAAGTTTTTTGGCTGGCCAGAAGGGTCATGTTTGTCTCACTGCTGTGGCAGGGCGAGGAGACAGTGGGTTTGTTGTGAGTCCTAGGGAATTCTGGGGACAAGATAGGAGCTGTGGCGGAGGGGGGGGGAGTGAGTGGGAGCCCTACTCTGATGGCTATGCCTGCACGCAGCGCTCACGCTCCTTTTGAGCAGAGCTGCCTTCACAAGGGGAGAGTGCTGGCTCCATCAGAGCCAGAGCCATCAGAGCGCTGCTCCAGCAAAGTGCAGTGCCCAGACAAGGGTGGCAAACAAGACTGTTTCCAAGGTCATTGCTGCTGGAGATGGTGCTCCACAATGCCTTCCTTCTGCTGGTGCTGTTATTCCAAAGCTGTGCCTGGACATTGGGAAGGTGGCGCCTGGACATTAAAAGCCATGTAAGGCAGCCAGTCAGCACACAGCTGCAGCTGCCTCAGCAGTTGCTAGGCAGAACAGGACCATGAAAAACAGAGGCTGGACTGTGTGCTGCTGCAGATCTTGATGGCAGAAACAGGGAAACCACGGAAAAGCATTGCAACCAAGTTCATGCATAACGAGAAGCAATGTTGAAACATGGAAACCTTACAACAAATTGTTGATTCTGCGTGGGGATTATGTACCACACTGAATTCACACACAACACAAGCTTGCCATTATGCTTGAACACAGCCATTAAGTATTACTTACACTCACCCAAGGCTTATTATCTACAAAGGCAGCTAAACCTACTCCTATATCTGGACAAAGGGAAATTGATTTACAAAGGTTAATTGAAATGTAACCATATAAGTTAGTAAACATACCCAGCAGAGCATCATAGAGGCAACATTGGCAGATCCTTCATAAGTAAAAATCACCTGAAGGACTCAGCAGAATTTCTCGGGAATCCATGAGTGGTTTGGCCACAGATATCCTTAAGACAACGACAATCACTCTCTGCATAGGCTCAGGGGTCATCAGCCGCTGTACCTCCTACTCCATAGAAGCTGCTGAATCCTGGTCTGTCAAATCAGTTCTGGCTTCTTCAGATCTCTCTCAGCTTTTCCTCTCTATGCATACAAATTCTGGCCCAGGCAAGATCAGAATACTTTATTTTACAATATATATTCATTATATTTATATTACATCTTCATATTCTTTCAAACCAAATAAAATTAAAATATGCAAATTAATTCCTATCAGCAGTTCTGGGCTTCTTTCTTTCTTACTATATTCCACTAGATGGCAACCTTCAATTTGTTACACATTAAAGACACATTTCAGGTTTGAGGCAGCTTTTTCAAGGTTTGACAGGAATTTCTTGTACAGTGCGTGCGTGTGTTTGTGTGTGTGTAGCCTTTTCATTTCCATGAAAAGAATGGTCTGCAGTATTGCCCAGTCAATTATTTCCTTGATTATGCTATTCATTTTAAGTGAATTCAAACTTCCCTTGTGGTGAAACTAGAAAATCATTGAGAAAATCACTGTGGCATGGTGGTTAAGAGCATGGGACTAGGACTCAGGTGAACAGGGTTCTAGCCCCTGCTTAGCCATGGAGCCAAGCGGGTGACTTTGGGCCAATCACAGACTCTCAGCCCAAGCTACCTCACAGGGTTGTTGTTGTGAAGATAAGATTGAGGGTGGGGGGGAGTGAAGAGAATTTTGTAAGCTGCCTTGAGTTCCTTGGAAGGACAATGGTGGGATATAAATATGGTAGATTGACTGATCTATCTAGAGGTTCCTTGCATGAATGGAAAGGCATTTCATATATCCATTATAAATATTATATTCATATTTCATATCCATTCATCGTGAGGATATGATGTTAAGTACCTTCCTCTCCCCATCAGAAGTCCAGGATATCATACTCTGCACTTTTTTATGGTCCCCGGATTGTCAAGAGAGTCTCTCCAGGGGTGCTGGGTGCAGTGTAGAGGCAGGGGTAAGAAAGCCCAGTTCCCTGAGTTGTTCACTGGATCTAGCCCATTGAATCAAATGCTAAGAGTGCAGCATGAGGGACTCAAGGCATTGTCCCCTTCACATGGTGGAGTAAGTGTTGTTCACCAGCACCAGCCACCATGGTACCTGTATGAACTGTGAACTCTTCAAATCAGAGTTGCTTCATTGGTGTACAAATAGTATCTCCCACTGTGGGTTTGTAATAACATTTTCATATTCAATATGAAATCTCAGTATTTTTGCTTAAACAGGAACATTGCTGAGCAAGAGGCAAACATCTCTTTGCAACTCATTTCTGATGCTGCCAGGTTTTCATAGTGTTTTGTATTCCTAGAGCCGTCTTATCCAAAAGGAGATTCAAGTGGGCCAGCCCGAAGAAGTTGGGAGCTTCGCACCCTTATCTGTCAGACAAAAGGTAGAGATGTGAGGCAGTAACTTTGCTAAAAGTTGTGTTCACAATTGTGATTTTAAGAATTCTTTAAATGCAAGTTGCTTTTCTTATAAATGGTCACCAAACTGTCTTTCTTGTTATGGGGTAGGAACAAATCAGCAGAATTCAATTAATAGTGAGGCATGGTAGGTTTCTCCTGAGTTAAAGTCAAAACAGGTGTCTCTCTACATGAATCTTGAGGTGGTACAGCTAGTATATACACCACACTGCCTCAGATTTCCACACTGAAAATTCAGCTGGAATCAGAAGTACCTAATTCTTATTTGATCACGTGGATGCTGGAATTTAGAGCAAGGATGGGAACTCTTGGCCAGGGAACCTAATAAGGCCTGTTAGGATTCCCCATCCAACTTTCTCTGTTTTGTACTGCTTTCTCAGTACTAGACACAAGAAAGACTTATCTCTGATACGATGTTCAGAAATCATTGGCTGCTGATCAGAGATAAGAACTTTTCCCTGCGGGGCCAGGAAAAGAAGTTGCAGTATGATTCAGTCCTGCATCCTTCTGAGCTTACTTCTGAGTGGAAATGCTATAATGCTGAACAATTTAATCCTGCTTCCTTCTGAACCTTACTCTGATGATGTCTGTCTCACTTGCCTATGTTATTCATGCTTGCCTCTGAGTAGTTATGCACAGACTTGACATTTGGGATTCTGCTTGAAAGATTCAGTCCTGCTTAAACAGGCAGGAGCCTGTTCTGTCTGTCTGTGTGTGACTAGAAATGCTAGCATGCTTACTTCTGAGTAGATGCACTTTTTACTATAAATTGACAACAGGAGTGGATTGCAGAGGAGACCTACTAATTGGATAAGCCAAATTAATTGTGGGTTTTTAATGAAGTTGTATTTTGATCATAGTTCTGAGACAAATGAGAATTGGGATGCCCAAATACTCATGCTTTGTGCCTCTCTTTTAGATATTTTACTTTTGTAATTGTTTCTGATAGCCTGTGGGATTCAGCAATAAACAGTTTAATTGAAATTGGTAACAATGAAATTGGCAGCCTGCCTTCAATCGGAATGTGGCCCCAAGAGCTTCTCCAAAATGGAGTCCTGACTGCAGGCTGAGAAAGGGTCCCCCTTTTGATTTACAGAGTAGTAACATTATCATTAGATTTGTCAACATTGCAGCCTATACCTTAGACACAAAAAATGACTTTACATGACTTGCTTGTTTTTTTGTCTGGTGTCCTCTTTTAACTACAGCTGATCCTGTAGGTGACTACTTGGCAGACATGCATGCAGGCCACTTGCACTACCTTGTTCTGAGTCAGACTATGTAAGCTAGCATTTGCAACTCTGCCAGGCAGCAGCTCTTCACAGTTTCAGGCACAGGCCTTTTCTAGTGCTGATACTGGGGATTCTTTTAATTTAAGATGCTAGGGAATGAACCAAGGGGGCCTGTGCAAAGCTGTAATTTAGCCTTTCCCAACTTGATGCCTTCCGGATAGATTGGACTACAACTTCTAGTATTCCCTGCGCAGTGTTGTAGGCCAGCAGATTTCATCTTTTATTTATGTTCCGTTACAACTTGATGTGTAAAGATAGGGTCCGAGTTGCCTAAAGTTCAGGGATCTGTTACAGTGAGCACAATGAACCCAGAAAATGCCTGCTGTGCATGGAAAGGGGCTCCTTCAAAACAACAGGGAATGCAGAGATAGAAATGGGTGAAGATTGCCTCCCTCTTGTTCCAGCTGTGGGAGCCTGCTTGAGTGGAGTTCTGCTTGGGGAACGCTTCTCATAGAAAAAATGCTGACCCATCCTTTTGTTTCTTCCCTTGATTTGCTGATCTGTTTTCCCTGACCTGTTTTGTATCGCCAGATACACCAGGGCTGGATGGGAAGTGAACAGTGAGAAAGGAGCGTATTAAAACTATGTTACCCTTCTCTCAAAAAATACTAAACGTTGGAATAAATCAGCTTTAGCTCAACAGCTGGTTTGAAGTAAGCTCATCATGTAGACACATTCAGTAATGCATCCTTAATGACATGGCACTTGCTCTGAGTAACACAGGCACAAGACTGGTAGTTTACATGTAGTTGATGTTGTAATAATAGAACTTATTTATGTTTATTTTCTTTCTTTTCGTTTCTAGACACTGCTTCCCGGCAGGGACCCATGGAAGCAGTTCAAAAATCTGTTATATTGTTTGAAGAAAAGAGGTACCGAGAAATGAGGCGGAAAAATATTATTGGCCAAGTCTGTGACACTCCTAAATGTTATGATAACGTCATGCATGTAGGCTTGAGAAAGGTGACCTTTAAGTGGCAGAGAGGAAACAAGATTGGTGAGTTTCTGATAGTTTTGTGATGTTCCAGTATTTGGAGAGATAAATCTGCTTATCTAAGTGATTTTTGTTCTGATTCATATCTCATGGTCTGCAGCTATAGTATATATGTGGTGGTAGCTAAGCTGGAATGTATATGAGCTTGTACATTTAGATGAATGCAGTACAGATAGATGGCATCTGCATTTGGTGCACATCCAAATGCCATTTAATTTACATATTAGGTTCCTGATCCAGAAAATGATCTTGATATTCTTACCTGGAAAGGTCTTTGTTTGTGATTATCAACTTCTGTGTTCATAATACAGCAGTAAACTTTGCTTCGCTTGACATAGTTTTTATTTCAAAATGACCAGCAATAATTTGTATTCATGAGAGGGTCCTGGTAACAATTATACCACATTTAATGTGTTCCAAGCTTCCTTACATTATAAAACAAGCCTTCCCACCCCTCCCCATATTTGTGTCAGAGAAAAGGTATGTAAGCATAGGCTGATTTTGCATTTCTTCATAATTGCAAATAGGGACACATGAATCACTCTATAACTCTTTGGCATGTAGTCAATCCTACATCCATTCTGTTTTAATTCTGTCCAAAATTCATATGTATTTCCATATCCAACTCTTATCCATTTAAAATTATTTTTACGCTGCTTTTAAGGGGTAGTAGCTCACATATACATTTCATTTGTTTCTTCCCCAAATAAATGCATTTGTGTCTGTATCTTTTCCTACCACGCATTTTGCATGAATCTCTCCATAACATACACGATTTTTGCAGGAATATTGCACAAATAACTGCATCATAAAATTTGGAGAAGCATGGAATTCAAAAATTAGCTGTCTTTTGATTAACACAGTGATCTGGGAAGCAGAAATAGGGCAGTCCACTTTAAAATGTGGCCCAAACAAAGTTGGACCAAACAGCAACTCTAACCACAGGCATGTTTTAGTTAGCAGAATCTTCATGAGCTTCACAGATGTGCTCTTGCATCATATACATTCATTATAATGGAGCTTTCATGTGAAATGTTTCTGGAGCAGAGATTGTCCAAAGTCTTTCCATGTATGAAAGCAGTATCAGATTGAATGCCACTTCCCTAAAGTTTCAAGTTCAGTTCATACCATTAGTGCATGTAGAAAAGGTGCATTGGAATTGGTCATCCATTCACATTTTTGCAGGGGTTGTTTTGTAATAACTGTTCCATTTGTTCATATTGACAGAATGCTGAGCAATATTTTTAGAGTACTTATTGTATTATTCTTATTGTAATTCTGCAGGAGAAGGCCAGTATGGCAAAGTCTATACCTGTATCAGTGTTGACACTGGCGAATTGATGGCCATGAAAGAGGTCAGTAGTGTGTTTATACAACATAATGAATGTAGCTTTTTAAAAATGACTGATGTTTTTAATTTTATTTCTAACCCCCTCCCTATAGTGTTAGATCAATAGATCATAGGGCATGGTACAATCATGAAACAATGCGATATGAAACAGTATGAACATGGAATTAATAGCATGAGCAACCAAATTGAGATTGAACTATAGTCGATAAGACTCAAAGAGTTGGGTAAATTCCCATATCCCAACTTGGCACCAAAATGGCACCAGTTGAGCTTTTGAGGAGAGACCATTTCAGAAAAAACACCACATTCAAGAATGTGTGTCTCTCTAATGCAGTCACATAATGTATGGTTCTCAATTGCAGGACACAGAGGAGACCCCCACAAGCAGGTCTTAAGTCTTGGGCAGGTATATTCAGGTAGAGGCACTTCCTCAAATACTGCGTACTCTAGCCATGTAGGGCTTTAACTGTCATCTCAAACACCTTGGCTTCAATCCCAAAGTATTTTGGCAGCTGGGGGAGTTCCTTTAGACAGAATGTTATGATTTCTAAGCTGTTCCTAACAGCAGTCTAGATACTGCATTTTGCAGTAGCTGTGGCTCCCATGTTCTCTTCAAGGACACCACTGTCCGTACAGTGCATTGTAGTAATCTAAGAGGAAGCTCCTTCTTCTTCCCTGAGGAATTGCATTGCTTATCAAAATAAATACAGTTGGCCACAATTGCTCTTGGCTGTCCCATTCCTGGCAGTATCTAAAGAGACGTGGATGGCACACTGGTTGCTTTCCCCCAGTTTGTTTCACTGTTATGTGCTTGGTATTAGCCAAAGTGTTCAAAAAGAACTACTACTTTTTGCAGATAAGGTTCCAGCCAAATGATCACAAAACCATTAAAGAAACGGCAGATGAGTTGAAAATTTTTGAAGGCATCAAGCACCCTAACCTGGTTCGCTACTTCGGTGTAGAGCTCCACAGGGTAAGCAAGTAATGGTTGCTGTCCTGAATAGGTTACACGTACAAGTTTTAACTGGTCTGCTTAATAGGAGCAAACAGAATCTTTGATCCTTGCTTTATGCTATGAATTATTGTTGTTACATTGCATTTCATCATCCCTGTTATGTACACGATCTGTGGAAGCAGTAAATACACAACTTCATTTAGAAGGATATTTGCCACTCAAGGGCCAAACTAGACTTGATGTGGGAGATTCATGTGGGATTTCTCAAAGTCTTTTTTAATGCTCTTTTTTCTATGTGTTTTTATTGTGCATTTCAGGATGAAACCTAAACAAATACAGTGAAAGGAGAAAAAAATAGTTTCTGGTCTTTTCCACTCAGACTGGATTTTTCTCCCTGGTCAGTTCTAGAATCTTCATGTCTGGATCCTCTTCCCTCTTGCAATGCTTCTCACTGGACCAAAACAGATAGGCTGCCCCATACAGTTACAGCAGTTAGAGAGGCTGGTGCATATTTTCATGTGAATGGGAGTTTGACTTATTTTCACATGCAAAATCAACTCTTTGGGGAAACTCAGACATAAAGATTATCAAGAAAATGTTGGTTGCTTGGTGGATTTGGACAGACAAGCTGATTTTTACTTTAGATGTGTTCATTGGTCCTAATGATAAATTTGCAAGCTTACTCGAAATGGCCAGCTCTGACCAAATGGCAATATATGCAACAGAAACAGTTTTGGCCTTGCTGCTTTCACAGCTTCAGGGCACCTGTGTTCCTGAAGTACTGATTGAAGCTGCATTAGTCCACCATCTAATCTCTGTTCTCAGTGAATAAATATGATGGAGAGGGTCTTAAGTAAGATTGGAATAATGAATTGAAGGACTCTCTGTCTTGCCCAATCAATACAGTGCTTCACTGTCATCTATTTCAGAAGGGGTAACAGATCTTAGGTTACATCTAATTCAGCAAATATTGATGTTTTGAGTATATTGGATGCCACATCTTTTTGATAAGGTTTAATTAAATTGGCCAAGTGGTGGAGGTACAATGCAGCTAATACTTCTCGTATTCTTAGCCCAGTGGCCATTTCCTTTTGGCAGGCAGTAATAGTTTGGATAATTTTGTGATGGGAAGTTCTTTAATATTTAATGATACTCGTGTTGTTCTTAATTATCCACCAGTCTCTTGGAATTTAATGGAAGGTCAATGCAAATGGATTTTCTCAGCCCTTTTGACAGCTAAAAGACTAATACTACAATACTGGAAAGATAAATGGTCACCGGAGAGTTGAGGAATTAATGAAACTTTTGACTTTTGAACAGGTGGTCTTTAGGCGTAACTTAGGAATAGACACATCTATCGATATTTGTGCTGCCTTTGCTGAAGTTTTTGCATAATCACTTTTAATAATAGCTTGCTACATATAAAATATATAGGGATGTATTCAGTGCTATCCATTCTTTAACCTTATATAGACCTTTTTATAGGCTGGGATTTGGATTCAGGATAAGCAGGAATTGATTCTTTCCTGCTTGCAAAGTGGGGCAGGGAAGCATAACTACAATTGGGGCACTCATGATGTTTTTCTGCCCTATCTGATTGACAGCAGCTTGGAGCAAGTAGCAACTTAGTCTTCTTTCAGTTACAGAAGTCCTATTTTTTTCTCTTACAAATTGTAACCATATTCATGGACCATCCAGACAGTTGCCATATTTCCCCATGTAAGTCGTTGGCTAAAGAGAGCAGTTCTGCTACAAATATGCTGCAGGGGATTAATCGCTGTATAAACAGACAGCAAAAGGAGTGTGTTGCTTATTGGAATGCCTATTTGAAATATTCTGCATATTGAGGATGCAACCAGACCGAGGTGCAATGTTTGCTCCCCCGCTACAGGAAGAGATGTACATCTTCATGGAATATTGTGATGAAGGAACTCTGGAAGAAGTGTCAAGACTGGGCCTCCAGGAGCATGTCATTAGGCTTTACACGAAGCAGATCACCACTGCCATTAATGTGCTGCATGAACACGGCATCGTGCATCGAGACATCAAAGGTAGAATGATTTGAGCTATTTAGATCTCTTGTTTGCTTGGCTGGTCTACAGTTTGCATTGAAAAGCAAAGGAATTTTCAGACCATAAGACAACAAGATACTAATTTCCTAATGAAAAAGTCTTCAACTTATCTCAAATAACAGCAGGTTTCTGTCAGCCTTTTCCCATTTCTCCCATCTGCTCCCAGCAGAGAGCTTTTAATACTTCCAGAAGATAACTGGCTTGCTCTTGTCTGGAACCAGAAGCCAACCTTGGTGATGCTTGTGTGGCTACGAGCTGCTGCCAGGTTTGCCCCAGTTGACATCAGGGAGTCCTCAGTTCTCTAAGCTTTTTAGAGCTCATGTTCAGATATAAGGCATATCTGTTGTTAGAGATTGTGACAGGACATGAGCAGAAGCTGATCTTTAAAGGCACATATGGCATCCGTTCTTTATAGCATGTGAAGGTTGACGTTTCCCTTTGCAGTGATGGAACCTGACAGTGATTTGGTGATTGCTGCTGTTTACTAGCAATGGCAAATGGAAAGCCAGTGCTCTGACTCTTTTGAGTAAATCCTAAGGGCAACTTTGGCCTTTGGCTTGCGACTGAATCTCATCTGCCTTTCCATCTTGTACAGAGAAGGGGTGGTACTTAGCAAGATGCAAAATGAGATGCCTGAAACAAACTTTCCAAGTGCAGTTCCTCACTCTTCATAAGTACATGTAGAAGACAACCCTGAGGAAAATCGCATCTGTTCAGGTTGTGGGACACTGTGCAGAAGAAGACAAGGAATGGCAGCAGCTGTCTTTGCCTAAGTGGCTTTGATCAATCATTGGATTCCTCCATTTGGAATGAAAGGCACCATTTGAGCGAGGTTTTGAATATGGCCAATCATGAACTGAGGACTGGAAAATGCTCAGACAAAGCAACCTGGGTGCTCTCCTCACATCACCAGTCTCTGAAACTGAGAGGGGGAGAGAGTGCAAGGCCAGTAGTATTTAGTTGCCATAGCAATACTATGGAGGCCTTCTGCAGGCTGAGGTGCGTTTGCTTTTTCCAAGCTAAAGGCTTTAAGCCTTGGAAGGAAAAAGGCAACAGCTGCCATTAGGATGGTGGTGTGGAAAAAGAGAGCCACGCAAAGGCGGGTTTCCTTCAGAGGCCCTCCAGTCTTCAAAGAGTGCAGGCAGCGTCTCCTGCCACCAGTTTGTGGAGCAGAGGGGCACTGGGCAGAAGCCGGGCTCCAGTAGATGAGCCAAGGGAGCAGGGACCTCTCTTTCCCACTTCTGTGCAAGACTGAGGGTTGCAGGTGACTATGCAACCTTGGGGTGTAAGGTGTTCATTCCCCTTGAACCAGCCAATTGATCTGAGCTGATCATTCTGCGATAAAGGTCTCCTTTGGGCTTAAAATCCTATCCAGTTTTTCTTTTAGAAATCAGGCACTTTTTTTCCCTTTCAGGAGCAAACATCTTTCTGACTTCATCAGGGCTAATTAAGCTGGGAGACTTTGGCTGCTCGGTAAAATTAAAGAATAATACACAGACAATGCCTGGTGAGGTGAACAGTACTCTGGGGACTGCAGGTAAGGCATCCCAGGAAAGTTCCTTTGCTTGCAGCGCTCACTAGTGACCACTGAAATGTTCTAGGGCAGACGTGGCTCCAGTAGGTTTCCTGAGGGGGTGGGAGAGACACTTGTGCACCAACCCTGCCCAGGCTGATTTCCTCCACTTAGACCAGGAAAAGGGGGCAAGAGAGGAAAGGTTGCTGTTTCAGTGGATTATGGTACAGCGCAATAAGAGAAATGCTTCATATTCCATTATTGTGTGCCCTTGCCATGTGGATCTGTAAATACAAAGCATTACACGAAATCTGAAGACGTTCTTCCAAGTGGGCCAAGTTCCTTACCTCTGCATTGCTTGACAGTGATGCCTTTAAACCTTTTCTGCCTTTGAAAACTGTGCAGGGACTGTTGCGACATTTATTCAGTGGCCCGTGGTTGTGCATGCATATGGTGATCTAAGAGCCATCCCGTCACTTGCCAGTTCCTGTGCAAGGGTCTCCTGCAGCCTCTGCCCCATAACTCCTTTTGCAGACAGTCTGCATGAAGAAACTCTGTGCTGGGGAGTACGAGGGGCGTGTCCAGAGCTCTCATACCCCATCGTTTGGAAGCATGCATGCCTGGTCAGCTGCGTGAAGTGAACTTGTTCATGGCTCAGTTGGAGCACCTCAGTGATTCTGTTAAGAGTCGAGTGAGGTGCTTGCCATTGTTCACACACTCATGGGCACAAGAGACTTTCATATCTCATGCAAAATAGACACCAAATGTGTTATGATAATCCCACTCAGTTGGCTGGATAAGACACAAAACTGGGGAGGTCGCAGAAGTTTCAAAACTTGTGTTGAGTAGTCCTATTAGACTGACGTGTGACTTGGGAAGCCATGAAGTCAAGAATTCAGCCACTTCTGTGAAGTACAAAGGGAATCTTAATGAAACAAGCATGTGCTCAGTGGCTGAGCATGTGGTTTGCATGTAGCCAATCCGACTCACCCCCAGGCATTTGGTAGCCTATGATGGCAAGGCCTCTTCCCGACACTCTGGAGAGCCCCTGTGGGTCAGATACAGCCACCTTTCCAAACTGATGTCTCCAAGTGTTGAAGACTTCCAGCTCCTCAGTCAGCATGAGAGCTGTAGTCCAAACATCTGAGGGCACTAGCTTGGAATAGGGAATACTAGGTTAGGTTGGTAGGTATCCTCACCTCTCATAAGATAGCTGCTTCTAATACAAAGTGCAAATATATAAAAAGGATTAAATATGTTTTATATAAGTAAAATGCAGAGGCATGTCTCTCCCATCCCACCTCTCTCAACTCCACCCTCCATATGGGAATAATCATGCTAATATTAGTGTTACTGAGATAGTGTGATGCACCGTGTCCTCTGTAAAGCAGGGGCGTGCAGCTTGCAGGCTGCCCTGCTTCGGTGGCCTGCTGAGCCTGCAGGTGCCCCATGCGGTTTTCCCTGCAGCTCAGCTGGTCAGAAGGCAGGATGCCAGGGTTGAGGGGGCTTGAATCTCCTTCCTCCCCCAGGGACCCCAGTGCAGCAGTGTCTCACTAATGCTGGCAGGACAGCAGCAAACCCAGTTAGGGTTGTGAGCGGGAGAAGGATGCCTTTGTATCTTCCCTTCCATGTGACTCTGAAGCTGCCTTTGGGTTTGCTAGCAAGGAAACTTTAGGAGGTAACTTCCTACTGAGCATAGTTTGGTTCCTCAGATTAATCCCTTTGTTTTGAAGCCTCCTGTTCCTTTTGTTGCGTAAACTGATCTGTTCACGTATGTTGTTTCAAAGCATACATGGCTCCTGAAGTGATTACTAGAGCTAAAGGAGAAGGCCATGGGCGTGCAGCAGACATCTGGAGCCTAGGCTGCGTTGTGATTGAAATGGTCACAGGGAAGGTAAGCAGGTTTTGAGATAAAGCCAATTGCTGATACTTGGAAAGCTGTGTGGTGGCCTCAATCTGCACTGCCTGAATTTCTAAGGAGGAATTAGCCTTTACACTTTTCATGACTTGAATGTTTTTCATTTGGTTTCACTGATAAAGTGGAAGAAAAGGAGGCATTTTGGACTCCCCCAAAGTGTTGGCCTCTTTGTTTAATGCATCCTCCTTAATGACAAAGAGGCCTAGTTTGGATGTATATATCTTGGCTTAATAAACTACAATATGAGCAATCCTTGTATCCACCCGTACTGCCCCTCTCCTCCTCTCTTGGCACAGCACAAAAGCCAAGATGTTTTCAATGAACCATAGTTTTCTGTTACATCTGAACTGGGAAACCATGGTTTCCCATTCTGGGTGTACAGGAAGGTATAGTTCACTGAAAATTGTCTTGCTTTATTGTGCCAAGGAGGACCAGAGACATATGTACCTTGGATTATTACCCCATCTCATCTTTTCTCTAATCTTATAGTCAGTCAGTCACTTATATTTATATCCCACCTTTTTTCCCTTCATGGAGCTCAAGACAGCTTATATAATCCTCCTCCTCCTCCCAGTCTCATCCTCACAACAACTCTGTGAAGTAGGTTGAACAGATAGTCTGTAACTGGCCCAAAGTCACCCATGACCGAATGAGGACTGGAACCCAGATCACCTGAGTCCCAGCCCTGCACTCTTAACCACTGCATTAGACTGGCTCTCAGTAAGACTGATATTTTTCTTCACTGACCTTAACCTTGCAGGAAAGCACAGATGTGTATTAAATAGTGGCACTTGTGTTTGCCTGCTGTATCAAATCTGATTTAATTCTTCCATAGGAAATGGTGATTTATAAAGCAGCTGTCTTTCTTCCATCGGGTTCTCAGTTGGTTGCATCTTGGAATGCAAACCACGCTTTTCTGTTATGCATTCATGAAACAGCCACCATGTTCTGAGCTGTGGGGGTCTCTGTCAAAAGGCAGAGACACTCAAGAAAGTTGAACTAGGCCCACATCGTTTGATACCCAAATTAATCCATCCCTCATAAAACCATTGGGCATTTATATTGTCATACAGGTGTATCCCAACAATGTTCACTTACCACTAATATTAGTTTTACTACTAATACTAGTTTCACAGATTTCCCCAGGCTCTTGTGCACTTTAGGTAAAGAATAAAAGGGCTGAATTGCTAAGGGTGGTTCTGTCTTTTCCTAATGGCCATTTTTTGCTTTGGGCATTACTTTGTTTCTTATTTCATTTTTTCCGTCCTTTCTTGTTCTGACGAATGATTGTTTTGGGCAGGTTTACCTTTTACAGGCTCTGGAACCAAACCCTGCCACCCTTAACATAGCCAGCAATCACTGGGGTTGCTCCTTGGCTTTTCCACAGCATGTCCCCCATTTTGAAAAGCTGAAATGTCAGACTTCCAAAATTTAGTAGTAAGAGCTTTAAACTAGACTATGCTGGTGTTCATCGCACTGTGGTTCTACCCCTTTTTCCTTGAGCCCAACCCAGCACTGAGGTCTGCCCCTCCCATCAACCAAGAGCATCTCCAAAATTGACTCCAGCCTTCGCATTAGAAGATCCCAGCCTCTACCATATATTTGGGACTACAGGATTTGTGCGAAAGGCCTTTTTATGCCAGTTGAACTTTTAACTCATGTGAAACTTACGGCTACTAGATAGCTCTTTTCCTGCCTAGCTTGGAATTGCTGTGTTAAGCCCTCTGCTGTCCAATCAGGTTTTTAACTTGATTTAATAGGATGAAAAATAGCTACGTTTTTACATACTGATTGAGAGTCTCTCCAAAAAATGTGCACGTAATCTGTAAGTTGTGAAGTCATTCATCATGCTCCTTTGGGTGCAATCAGTGCCCCCCCCCCGATGCACAGACACCCCTGCACATGGAAGCTGACCTGCCTCCAACAACCAGCACAAGTATGGTAGTAGCAGTTGCTTCTGCTGTCTAGATGGCTCTTTTTGGCTGCCAGGGGCTCTGGGGAGGGAAAGGAGGAAGGCAGCCAGGTTGCTGGCAGGAAGTGGCAGACCCCCTTTGCCTTCCTCGGAGGTACATCTGCATCTCAGCCAGTGTATTCTCTCTGTGCTAGCTGTGTGTGGACCAGGGACCCAGCCTTTGGAGTCCCAGCACTGAGACTTGGGGCCAGGACTCCAAATAATCGTTCCCCACCTTCCAACAGTGTCAGAAGGCGATTGGATTGCACTCTGCATGGCTTAATACCATCTGATGAGAAGTGCAGCACAGAGCGCATGCTAATGGGTCCATTTGCAAGCTCATCCTTTCAACTCCGATGTTCTTCCTTTGTTGCAGAGGCCATGGCATGAATTTGAACACAATTTCCAGATCATGTATAGGGTAGGAATGGGTCACAAACCTCCCATACCAGACAGGATAAGCCGAGAAGGGAAAGACTTTCTTTCTCACTGCCTGGAAAGTGATCCAAAGATGAGATGGACAGCTAGTCAGCTCCTCGACCATCCATTTGTCAAGGTTGGTTACACTTACGTGTGTCTTGTTGGTAGCAAATATGGCCAGGCAACCTCTGTTATGAACCTGTTCATTGGGGAACTGGCTATATGGGAACTAAATTGGTTTAAGTCCCAGAATGCTGTGGCTTCAGTTCGCTTGCCATCAGCCATTTCTACATTTCTTTTTTTCAGGGACAAACACTTTCCGAAAAGGTCATTAGTCTATGACAGTTAACCGAGGTGGAGCTGCCAAATGGGGTGGTTCTAGTACTTCCATGTGAGTCGGGAGAGGCGTGAGGTCAAGCCCCCTCCTTGCTCTGGAGGAGCTGTGCTGCCTCACTGGGGGCCAGGAAGCTGGGTGGAGAAGGAGCATGTGTGCGCGCGTTCGGAGCCCCTTCTGGGATGCCTTCGCCTTGCCCATGGTGTGGGGCCAGTTGGTCATAGGATCTCCATGACAGACCACCAGAGGAACATCAGTTCTGATTTCTAGGACTTCCAAGAGAGTGTCCTCGAAAGCACTGCTGATTAAGCCCTGAAGTTCTTGCATTCAAGTTTTGAGTCCCTTTGTGTAGGTAGTCAGCATGGCATCACTCCTGGAGAAGAGGAGGGCACTGTCAGCCTTGGGAGAACCCTGTGATTTGCAGAAGTGCAAAAGATCAGAGAAAAAGCCTAAGGGCACAGGGCAGTTTTGGGGTAGGGAATGGAACAGCATGGCTGGGGCCCTAAACAGCAGGGATCCGCACTGTAACAGTTAATGGTAGGTCCCTCTTATCAAATCCAAAATAATTTTTTAGAAAGGTTCCTCTTGGCCTTTTGGAATTAAAAGGATCCATATCAGTTTTCTGTGTATCAACACAAACATGCTGGAGGAGTTGTGAATCTCTGCTCACTTGTTAGTGGGGCAGGAAACAAGTTTCCCCACTGCTCCCACACTGGACGTCAAGTGGCTGGAGCAGGCATCTTTGCTTCGTAACAATCAGCGCTGCTTCCTGCTTTCACCCCAGCAGGGCCAGTGCTGGACTGTTCCCTTCTTCCTTACAAGACCACAGTGGGTGTCCCACTCACATGGGAGTAAACCTCACAGAATGCAACATGACTTGCTGCTGAGCAGACCTGTAAAGGATTGCACTGCACACGTGTTGTAAGCTTAGCTAGAGTAAGAGCAGCAAGAAGAGACATGGGATATGCTTGAAACAGTTCTTTTTGACCCTTGAATTGTCTTTTTGCTCCCCTAGGACCTGAGCATCCAGGCCAGTCTGTGCCTGGGAGAATGTGCGCACAAGTTCAGAATTTGCTCCCCTTTCTGTTTCCACTTCACAGGTTCTAGTACATTTGTTGTGATACTGTGTACAATATGACTTCATCCTTGGGCGTCAGAAATCATTCTTGAGAAATATTAAAACACGGCTCAGTCTTGAGAAAAATACAGTTTCATCAGCCCATGCAAATATCTTTGTTTTTATTAAAAAGATGCTGTGCTGTATTAACACATTAAAGTTAACCTAAGACTAGCTTCCACGTGAGGGTTTTGATAAATGCCTCCGAGCCTGAGAAGTGCAGAAAAAGCCCTGGTTGGGGGCATTCCTAGCGTTAACTTACAGCAGCTTCAGGCACTTGGCATGCCTGCAGACCTGCCAAGGTTTGAGCTCTGGTTAGTTTCCAGGGCATAGTGCGGGCAGCTCACGCTTTGAAGAACTTCTCCATGTGCTTGAGGACAATGATCTTCTTTGTGACTACTGTTGTGACTTGCTGGAGTGCAGCAGGAGACGTCTTATGGTCAGCGTCCTTGAATGAGAAGCACCACCTTCACGGAGAGTGGCGGAGCCCTTCGGACCGCTGACTGGATGTGTGCACGATGTATTAGTTACGTGTTCTCTCTCTCCCTGTCTCTTGAACTATCACAGGTGTGCACAGATGAAGAATGAAGTTAAAACCAACATGTCGCCTCCTGTCCTCTGGTGAAGTAGCTCTTAATCACTACTGTATGTAATATTTACATAAAAGACTGTGCTGAAACACAGAATACAACTCGAAACTTACCGTGACTGAAGACTGCACAAGTGACCTGGGTCACTTCTTCTGCTGCTCTTGTACGTTTTCCTTGGCACACGTCGCTCCCGTGACAACATCCACGAGTTTAAAGAAGCTGCATGTTTCAGTGAAAGTGCCATTACTGCTGTATAATGGACCATGTCCTGATTTTTGTTCCTTCCCCATTTCTCACATGGCTGAGAACTGTAATGTTGATATGTAGTATTTTTGAACTTTCTAGGTTCGAAAAAGCAAAGGTTAGTGTTATATCAGGCGTTCTGAACCTTGTTTTTAATCTCCTGTTTGTTGAGTGCACTGACTGTGAACTTCTACCTTTTCGTTTGTGTTTTTTTGTTTTGTTTTTTATTGGCCAGCTTCAGATTTGTTATGCAAAGGCTGATTGATGAAATTTAAAAGCTTTTCTCAATAAATGGTTTATTTTAGGAAGTCTTTTATTCCTTATTTCATTGTTGAAGCTCTTTGTTCCCCAACTTCATCAGAAGATACAAGTGATCTAGTTTTATATCGCTGCTGTTCGAAAAAAGTCTAGCTTATGTCATTTGTCTAAAGCTGTTGGAAAATGTCCCAAGGGTCTCTTATGCCTGCTGAGGAGGTTACTCTTCTCCAAGTTTACTGCCCAGTTCAACTGAAGCATGATCCAAGACTCTCCGATATAACGGCACTTGCCCACCTGATACTAAAGCAGATTTTATGACTAAGCCCCATTTATATTTGAGCCCATCAGTAGGGCTGAAAGCAGCCAACAATAAGAAATCCAAGTTTAATGTTAAAACTTAAAGTAATTGCAAAAACAAACAGCAGAAAGAAATTAAAACCAGCAACCAGCCTGACAGAAACCCATTTCAACAACAGAACAGCTCATGAAAGGATACACTGTCTATTCTTAAGACTGATGAAAAATGAATATATATGGAATCAAATATTTTATCATTTTTAAACTTCTGCTTTCCATTGCTTCAAATTGAAACTTCTGCTGGAATATTGGTGTTTTTAAATTGACAATGATACAAAAATAGATAATGGATCATTTGTAGCCTCTATCACATCACATCACTATATCCACCAGGTCATATAGTTTAATAGAAATTACAAATTCAATATTGCTTTAATTTGACTTTATTTTTATATAAACAACTTACTTCAGTTAAGGCAATTTTAAAACATACACTTGCTCATGGGAAGTAACACTAATACTGAACAAGACAATATGGAATTGCTTGAAATCTAATGATTTCGGCAAGTATCCTTTCATCCTCGGATAATTTTGCCTTACCTGCCCAACTTTGGAGGCATTGTTTTTCAGTGTTCTCTCAAAGGTGCAGGTCCAAATTTTATAAGTATTTCCACAATGGTATCACTGATCGTTACTGAAATGTCACAAATGCCCAGCAGTTTCTGTGCCACCAACTCTCACTACAATGGAAAGGAGCTGGGGAGGTTTGCAGAATGATTCAGGTAGGATCACTGTTCTTAAAGGCATACTAAAGTGGCCACACAGAATGAAGCAACACCGAGTTTTGTTTTGTTTTTATACAGTGCCACAGATATACAAGGCCTCTGACCATTGCTTGTGCAAAAAAAAGTTGCTGCTTTGAGCAGAACCATCACTCTGCTGTTTTCTGCTCTCAGCTTCTAAAGTACTGGGGAGACGGTAAATACTAGGATAGAGGAGCCTGACCCTTATGTTTGCAAGTGATCTGTTCTGGCCTTCCCCAGCCTGGAGCGCGCCGGAGGTTTTAGACTTAAGCTCCCATCAGCAACAGCCAGCATGGCCAATTATCAGGAATGCTGGAGTTACAAGTCAAAATACTTGCAGGACACCAGGTTGGGTAAAGCTGTGCTACATTTTGGGCAAGATCTAAAAGGATATGCAATGCCTCAAAGTTTATGGAGTCATCTTCCCCTCAGTAGCTCTCCAGCACAATGCAAAATTAATATGTTTCTTTCCAGAAAATTAGAAGTCATGGGATTTTTTGTTTCTTTGTTTTTCAGGAGAAAATAGAAGATTTTTAGGAATATTTGAAATATACCTTTTTTTAGCACTTAGCTAAAAATCCACAAGCTGTTTGATAATATTTGTTGACACTGCTGGGATAGTTTACAGGGTTTTTTTTAAATAAATCTGGGTGTTTTAGATTAGGACTACATTACTGACTGCTATGGATCTAAGCATAACAAACACAAAAATGCAGGACTCCAGAACAAAACACAAACTGCTTCTATTCACATGTTGGAAAATTGAGCTTGACTTGGAACATCCTTAAATGTGTTATCAGTCAAAAATACATGAAATCAATAATTTTAATTAAAAAATGGAAGAAATGACTATACTGGGAATCTTACACAGAGGGTTAAAAGGATTTTACCCTGGCTTCTTTATTTCCAGACAATTTACATCTCCAGTAATTCTATAAAAAACGTACTACATTAGATTTTGAAAATAGCTTGTGTGGGGTAAAGGCGAAGTACCAATATATAAACACTTTGTCTTACATTCTAGAAGAAAATAGTTCATAATTCAAAGATGCTCCCCCAACCCCATTTTTAAAGGAAAAATGGTCCTTGGGGAAGCAATGAAAAAAATAGCTGCACAGCTTTTTTCCTGATTTTTCCCAGGTCTTCCCATCTCTAAGCATGAAATACTAGTAAGGAAAGTGCCTGAGGTAACTGGAACAGAGTAACAAGCAAAGAACATTCATAGCAGCAGCTCCAGGACCAATTTAGAGTCAAGCTGGGAGACTCGGGGTGTGAGGGGCAGGGGAGGCTAAAGTGGCAGGACAGAGTCCGATACTGCTTTGTCCCTACATCATCCAGTGATGGATGCTTGAGAACAGTTCACAGGCCTCTTTCACAGCCGATTCTGTTTAGCCAAGCAGTTCCTCCACCCCACTCAATTTTTTACCATGTCTAAACTACCCTGCAATCTATTATTCTCAAATGAGCTTACATTCATTTTAAAAAACATTTAAATGTTCAAATTAAGACGTAACTTTTCTTGAAATGAATTATTGAGTTATAAGGTTTTGCACACGATGGTAGCAAAGAATGCAAGTCTCCTTGTTCTTCTGAATAGGATGCATTGACACAGATTCAGGCTTCAAATGGAGACAATTGGATCAGCTTAACAGAGCAGTTCAAACAGGACAGAAAGAGTACGTGGTCATTTATTACCGACTGGTTGTAGATCAAAATATTACCTTGCAAGTATTAATACACATCATTTGTAGCAGCTTTTGAAACTGCCCTCAAGCACACACTGAACAGACATCTACCCTACTATTCACATATGAGATACATGTCTTTACTAACCATAACTAGATCTACGGGAAAATGCATAATGCAGTCTTAATGAGTTTGAGCTGTAGGTACTGTACGTCCAAACATGGAATGCATGACAACTACCAAATGATTCTTTTACTGAATCAGGGTTGTCTGAAAGCCACCAAATCTGAATCCTTTAGATCAGAACTGGCTTTAGCCCTGGTGTGGCTCACATGCACTGTGTCCCTTACTGGGTTTTGCTCCACTTCTGAACTAGCTGTTGGTGCTTTCCTAGAAATTATAGACTGAGTTGAGTTGCTTCTATAGCCACCCTTCTGCTAATGTAGCAAAAGGCAAGAGTTTGCTCCAGGTGTTTTTTAAAGCCTTGGCTAAAAATGGCAAGCATCATCCTAAAGAGTGACACATTTCAACTGCATTGGGGGGGGGGGGGGGGGGGGGATCCTTAATTCAGGAGTGGTGCAGGAAGCAACATCTTTGTCATGGTGCCTTCTCACTTTCCATGGCTATAGAAGCAGGGCAACCTCCCACGTTCTACAAGTGGATCTCTTTGCATCGCAGGACTTCTGTCTGCACTCACTAAATTTGCTCTGGTGGGGGCCCTCCAAACTCTGGAGACCTGCATGTATGTAGTGGGGAAAGAGAATCTATTGTGCCCATAGTGGTCATTTCAATAAGGGACGGACACCGTCGAGCTTTTTGTATATTCTGAGCGAGCTATCCAATAGTGTCTTCAAGTTATCACAGCTCTCAGCTTAATGCAATAAAGATCCCCCATGGGATGCAGAATTTAAAGAGAGGGAAAGCTGCTGGTTTTATTTTATTTGCAGCTTCTGGGGCTTTAAGGTAATATTGAACAAACAATCACTGTCTTGTGGGTTATCATGATGCTTCTGTGCTTTTTGTGACAGGCTTAATGTCAGCAGAAGCAAGTAGCAATCCCCTTCCTGAACTGAAGCAGTTCTGACTGCAAGTCAGGAGGTGTAATAGTCCAATGATTTCCCATGGCAGTCTTCATTTCATAAGGAAAAGCATGTCCTTTATCCTGATGGTTCACATGCCAAGTTGATTTTCTGTTTACTTGACTTTAAACATTTCCGAACTGCACCTTCACGCAAATATCAATACAGAGTTGAAACAGTAAGAAGCCCAAAGCAACCCAATAAAATCTGAGAGGTATAAAAACAGTTAAATCAGCTAAGTCTGGGGGGTGGGGGTGGAGGAAATGTTTTCACCTTGGTGCCAGTCGTATTTCCTTAGGGAAGGTATTCCAAAGTCAGGAAGCATCACTGAAAAGGCATTTGTAGTTGTATGACGTAACATTTGCTATTGACGGACCTTGGAAGAGGGTCTCCCTGGCTGATCGTAATGCACAAGCATATTGGCATGGGAGGCACTCCTGATATTTAAGGCCCATGATGCTCCATGTACACACAGAGTGCAGGAGAGTACAGATTTCTCAGACTTCATCTTCCCACGCAGTCATTTCAAATAGCCACAAAGGTCCCTGTTTCTGGAAGTGGTGGATCTCTATGACATGTGCAAGCTAAGTGCCATTGCTGGTTAATGACAGATGTGTGTGGTAGTTATTGGGAGATTTCAAGGACCATTGATCTTAAGAGCTAGAGCCATGTGCAGGCCTTGCAATGGGCATGCAGGAGGAACATAAAATACAGCAGGATCTCCATAACCGCTATCTCAGTTACTGTCATTTCTCTGAACTGAGGTTGACCATTAGCCCTCCACATTTGCAGAGGTTAGGAGCACAGGGGCCCCATAAAAGCGGAGAAAAAGCAAGTATCTCTAGGGACCTAGGCACTGTTTGAGGACACTGTGCTCTGTCTCAGCAATAGCCAGCCTCACACGTTTCGCCTCTCAGTGGGCATGAAGAATCCAGAGATATTCACAGTTTTTCTCTAGATGTATTTGCATTTTTTCCCATTGCTGCTGGGGTCCTGTGCCTCCGACCCCCACGAATACAGCTTTAGGCATCTGCTGGGGGGCTGTGAATCTATCCCCGACGGATATGGCATATGGCAGTCCTGCTGCATCTGTATGCAAATAGCAATTCAGATCTGAACGTTCACAGCTCATGGAGCCTGTCTGTGGCAGCAAAAACTCCAGCAATTACAACTGAACTCTAGCCCAAATAGGTTTATCGTTAATACAGAACTTAAATTAGCTCCAACATCCCAAAAAAGAATGTGCGGTTTCCTATTACATTGCCAAGGCACATCTACTTTTCACAGTAGAAATAAATCATGTCTATTTTGTTACTAAAAATGCTGCAGGAACAAAAAATTTCACTCTTTTTCATTATCTTCCTTGTCCACTTCTATGAAACACAAGGAAGAAAGTATAGCTGTGAAAGTGCTAAATATTTCCAGTGGATATGAATAGTTCAGTATGAATATTCAGCAAGCGCCTGCTACTCTATCCCTTTCTCCCACCCACTCCAGCATCTTAACCCCTAATAAAACTGGTTAAGTGGAGGAGGGGAACCCCCAATATAGCTTAGCAAGTTCCTTTCTTCAAACATGGAACAGCAACAGTTTCACCTACACAAGATCATATTCCGCCCAGGTGTTTAAAGTGGCATGATTCGCAAGGACACAATTCAGCCAAAATTAAGCATTTTTAGTCCAACTGATTTTGCATCCTTTATGAAATTTCTACAACTCATAGTGCTTAGCCTTGGTGAGATCATGTCCTTTCTGTACAGTGGTCTGTTGTGCCCTTTCAAGGGAGGCACAACTTCTCACTGTACAGCAGCCACAACACTGCACATGTGTGCATGCGCACACACATATATGGCCTTCAAAGAAGTTCCTAAAGGCACTAGCAATGGCACTGTCCATTGCACCCGGATTGGTAGGCTTACACATAAATACATTTAACATTAGGTTCCCTAGTTTGCAAAACAGTAGCCTTTCCAGGAGTTTCCACCACCTAATTACTTGCAGCTGGTCCCCTTTGCTGGTAATATAATGAAGACTGCATTGCCATCTTGGAGAAGATAGATTTTATGGCTGCCAACTGTGGCACTCATAAAAGCAGGTGCACAGAGTAACAGCATAATGCTTTACTGCTTAATGGGAAAAAAGGGAAGCCATTCAGTCATGCTTTGGGATGTCACTTCTACCTCCCTCCACCCCCCATGCATTTTACAATGATTTTTTTTTTGGAGAGAGTTACTTAAAATTTGGCACCACTGAATGAAGCAGTGGTGTAAGGATTATTGAAGCTTAACTTGCTGATTAGACACAGAAATTTGCCATGATCAAACACAAATTGACTGTGTTTAACTTCTGGGCTCTTCTAATGTAATTAGTTGAGTAGATGTTGGGATGCTAGCCATGAGCAGAAAAGTAGGGCATGCTTGTGAGGAAGCCCCAGTGATGAATCATCAAGGTAATTATTTAGGGAGCAGGTGAACTAAAACTCTATGTAAATTTAGCAACAAGGGAGGAAGCCAGGACCACAACTGCCCCTTTCTATCTTACACAGCCCAACTTTCTAAGTAAATAAATCCAATGAACGTAAGAAAGGGAAAGGGGGTATAAGGGATTTCCATAATCTTGCAGTCTCACTTGTACAGCTACTTGCTGGACAGAAGTCACATGGGTTCAGTGCAATGGGCTCCCTTGAGGCCAGCTAACATGGAGAAGTTGAGAAGTTCAGAAACAATCTTTTCATGGGCATGATATTGGCATTCCACTCCCAAGGTGAGAGTTCTGCTATTGCAGAGAATGAGGATCTCCAGGGAGGAGGGCATTGTGCTATGGAAGAGGGATGCCATCTCTTAAAAGGGACCTGCTCCTTGGGGGATGGACTGATCCCCATTCACATTTCTGGGGGTGGCTAGTCACAGTAATCTGATTATTGGAAATGCAGAGAGATGGGTTTGTGATGAAAGCATAGAGTATATGGTGAGCTCTTTACCTGAAGCAGAGGCTGTAGCTGCCACATTTCATCTAGATATGGTGGAACTGCTGATAAAGTCAGTGGCCATGGTGCATTTTGGCACCAATCATGTAAAGTAACAAACCTTCCTGGGTAGGAAATTAAATTTCGGGACTTGGTAGCATTCTCTGAAACATGTCCCATTTGACATGTAGGGCCAGCAAGACAGGCGGAGCTGAAGGCTCTTTGGTGGAGGGCTTGCAAGGCCATGTGCGGTGCAGGGACCATCCAAGCCTGCACAAAAGGAATGGGCTTTAGCTGAACTAAAATGGAATCAGACGGCAGGCACTTAATATCAACATGGCACAAATAAATCTCTGAGAAAATTTGTGGAAATCACACCATTTGCACAAATGGATAGGTGAAAGTGCTGTTCTCGCATGACACAGGCAAATCACATGCAGTTTCCCACTTCCAGTTTGCTCAAGTCCCATGATGGCCCATCTCAGAAATGGAAAAAAGCCAGAGTGGAGGGTGCTGGCCAGAGTGTTGAACTAAGAACCTGGGGGATCCTAGTTCTAGTCTGCACTCGGCCATGAAGTTCACTGAGTGGCTTTGGACCCGTCACAGATCAGCAGAACCTACCTCACCAGTTTGTTGAGAGCATAAAATGGAGCTAGGCAAGCTGTCTTGGGCTCCTCACAAGAGGAGAAACCAGAAGATATAAATACAATGCAAAAAAGCTTCAACTTGGCCTACTACTAATCATCCATTTGGACATGTGCAGGAAGTCCATTAAGCTCAAGAGAGTTGGACTTCCAACATCAGCATCTTTACACGAGCTGCAAGCAGATCATTAAGGATACAAACAAATGAACAAACAATTTGAGTAAGTTGTTAAATCCATGAGAAGCAAGAAACTGCCCAGAGGTGATTTCACTGTTGGATGACAACATAATCAAAAGATGTGCTTGAGCGGGACAGAAAGAATAAAAGGGCTTTCTTACAACACAGATACATAAAAAGTGAAGTTTGCAAAACTTCTATATGTGTGCTGGTGCTTCGTAACTTGTTCACAGTTAGGTGTGAGCAGTGAAGGGGCTAAGTTTATGGATGATACTAAGTTTGGATGGGAAAGTGCACGCACACACACGGGATGGTGAAGAGCGAATGTGCAATTGACATGGCAAATGCTTTTCAAAATAAATGTAAAGTGATGCAAAATGAGCAAAATGACAAACTTTAGATCTACACGGATGGGGTTCAAGGTGGCAGTGACTAGGAAAGGGGGTTGGGATTGTGGTAGTTTAATGAAAATTTACCTTGAGGTGTGGCAGCTGTGAACAAGGCAAATTTCATGTTAAGGACCATTAGACAAGAATGGAAGATAAAACTGTGAAGGTCATACTTTCATATAATCTAATAACGCAAATAATGCTGACTGCCATGTCTCCAAAAGCACATTAATGAGCTACAGAAATGCAGAAAAGGGAGTTAAGGGGCTGGGGTAACCCAAGTACCCGTAAGAAAAGGGTGAAAGTTTTAACATAAAAGGAGGGGAACATAATAGAAGTTTATGAAATTATGCATAGTGTAGTAAAAGGGAGTGATGTTTCTCTTTCTGTAATTTATTTATACATTTATTACATTTGTATACCATCCAACAGCCAAACCTCTGGGTGGTTAGCAAGAATTCATTATGGGTCGTCCATGAAGTCTAATGGTGGGAGATGCAGAATAAAAGGAGCTCAGTGCATAGTTACACTATGGAGTTTGCTTCCACCAAAGGTAGTGAGAACAGCAAATCTGAATGGTGTTAAAGGGGGATTAGAGAAGTCTAAGGCCATCAACGGCTAATATGATGGCTGGCTGTCCATTACCCCCGGTATAAGACAGTATGCCTGTGTATACCGGCTGCAGGGGAACAAGAGCAGAGGGTTATGTCCCCATGTTCTGCTCGTGGGCTTCCCATAGCCGCCACCTGGCTGGCGTTCTGCTTGGCCACTGTGCCAATGGAACAATGGACCTGATTTGTCTTTGGTCTGATCCAGGAGGGTGCTTACGTTCTTAAATATAAAATATCCATTTAGTCGCCTTGTACGAAAGTACATTTTATTCGACACTGTTAATCCATAGAAGATTGGGTGGGGAGTGAAGGAGAAGAAATTAAACATTAATTCCTTCAAATGCTTCCTTGCTATTCTGTCTCTTTGCATATTATTTTAAGTTTAAAAAGCCACTTCCTGTGAAAAACAGAATTTAAAAAAAATGGGGAGGAAAACAATGATAGAACCATGCGCAGAACGGTGATTCATGTCCTGGGAGAGGGGCTGGGAAGGAGGGGGCAGGAGGGAGAGAGAAGAGAATGACGCCAGCTCATCCATGGCCATCTCTCAGTTAGGCTTCCTCATCCTCATCTTTGAAGGAGAATGACTTTCGCTGCAGGTGTGTGTGTTCCCTTTGGGTATGAAGCAGTCTCTGCAGAGTTCACTTTCGTTTCCCCTTGTGACCATGGTTGCCGTAAGCTGAGCCTCTGTTAATTTCTGTAACACCTATCATCCATCGAACACCAACTGAAGCTGCAATAAGAACAATATTAAGAGATGTTTCTGTTAAGCACCATCCAAGAAAGAAGCCAAACAGTAGAAAATCTGCCTTCAAGTACCGAGAAAAGCATATTCAAAACATGGTTGCCTTTAATTTAAAAATCATTAGCTACCTTAAAACACTATGCAAAGAAAGAATCAGTAGCAACAACCCTTTGTGAAGTTGTGGTGCAAGAGACATTTTTGTCTGAAGTTGACCGAAAGCTCCGTCTTACCTTCTATAGCTATGCCACTAATTCTTAAGTGTGTGTGTGTGTGTGTGTGTGTGTGTGTGTGTGTACGTACATACACCAATATATACCTCCTCTACTGGTGGGCATGTAGGTAGAAAAGGCATCAAGAATTTTTTTCCATGTCCATCGGTTAACAACACTACATTATACAGCAACTTCCCAGAAAAAAAGAATATGCAGAATTAAGTTTTCAAAATGATATTCCAATCTGCACTGTGACTTTCAGAATAAAAATGTAACTGAGGGCACATGTTTTATGGCCTACTGACCCTGACCCTAACCCTTAGTTTATGGAAGTTATCGTACACAGCATCTGAAGGACCCCAGATTCGGAAAGGCCCAACTAGGTGCAAAGTGAGTTATGCCAAGCAGGCATGAAGCTCAGCTGTCTTCATAAATGGCTTTTGTTTGTGCACCAAGAAAACTGCTCTGCTATGCAAAAGAGGTGATCACTGGATCATGGCTATCAAGCCATATTCCAAGTGGAGACGGCCATGGTGACTTGGGGTTGAATCTCTGCCTTGAAAATCACTCTTTGGCAAATCAATCTGCAACATATAAGGAAACATATGGCCAGAGGTCTTTGCAAGAATTTTTTCTTGCCAGCCCTTGCATCTATGGCTGCTAATGGCGAAGAATCAGAAGCCAAAGCACAATGCAGCCCAAATTAAGTGCTTTAAAGACCCCTTGATTTCAATGGGGCAAATCTAAGTATATGCACATTCCCTACTGAACACGTAAGTGGACTCCAACATGTTCAACTTAAAATGCACCTAATCACTACAATACAATGTTCAAAAGGCAGTCCAAAAGCAAGTGGTAAAAGAGAGCCAGTGTGGTGTAGTGCTGGACCAGGCACCTGAGAGATGCTGGCTCTAGTGCCCACTCAGCCATGAAGCTTGCTGGATAAACACTGGGCTAGTCACAGAATCTCAGCCCAACATACCTCACAGGCTTGTTGTGAGGACAGAATGGAGCTATGTAAGCCACCCTGTGCTTCATTTCACCTATATGAGGGAAAAAAGCTGGAATATAAGTGCAATGTAATAACTAGGTGATAGTCATAGTAAAATCCACCAAGGACCCAAAACATACAGGCAAGTAATGCATACTTTAAAGGCTGCAAGATGATTGCAGAGCTCCTTCCTGTGTAACTAAGGCCTTTTTGCTTTTTCAAGTCCACATTAACTCCTTAGTATGACGGCTAAAAGCAATGTATGTCCCCACATTAGGATTCATCTAATTTGTTTCTACTCATGAAAAATCCTGCAAGGTAGTGCCAAAAGCACTGGACTTTGTTGGCACAAGGGCCACCTGAGCACCATTTTCTTTGTAGAAAGGTGTGGTACAAATCCGCTCAAGAAGAAGCCAAAGTAAAATACAGCTCAAGTGCTGATCATGTCAAAGAACACAACAAATGGTTTACTATGTCCACTGTGACCGATTATATCATCAGTATCTCTAGGAAGCAGTCTTACAACAGCCAATACTATTTATTCCTGTCACCCAATTTGGCAGTAGCACTCTCTGACGTTTCAGGCAGGCCATGGTCTTTACCATGACCTGTAATGGGATATGCCACCAGAGACTGAATCTTCTGCACACAAAGCAAATGCTCTGCCACTGAACCGTGACATATGAACATGTCAGTCCTAGTCCTATATAGTTTGGACTGTTTGTCAGTCTTAGTCCTACATAAAAAGTATCTCTGCCTACTTCCGTGAGAACCAGAGACCAACCCCCATGACAGAGTATGGAGAGTATGGCTGCACTGCATCCAGCCTGGCTTCCATATTTGGGTATGGTTCTGCCCAGTCTTTTGGCTGCTCTTTCTTACTGCTGGATATGGGACAGCTGTGGCATGCAGGAAAGTTATCACAGTTTTCCAACTTGTTGAGATGCGCTCTCTAATAAATCACTGAATGCCTTCAAAGGTAATGGCAAGACAAAGCTAGTCAGGGAAATGTTAACTTTCCTGGGCATTTTACAGACCAAACTTATTTTAAAATGCTTAATTGAAATCCCAGCAGCAACTTCACAAAGAAGAAGAAAACCACAAGTTCAAACTTCACACGATCCAACCCCAGCTCAAACGATTTCACTTACTAGCTTCAAGCCTTCTCCAAGGTCCTTAACCAATAGTCACCTAGCAGAATACTAGAAAGGAGGGGAGAAAAACAGAAAGAAAGAAAAGCACAGACATGCCTCACACACAGAAACACATGCACAATTCATGCTCAAGCTCTTAGATAAATTATGTTCCAGGGAAGCTAACTCTGCTGTGGAAATTGCTGAAAGGCATTGCGCTACCTAGAAGGAGCTGAGGCCCTGCCTACTCAAAAGGGTACTAGCCCTAACTCTCTCTCCTGTTTTCCTTCAGCTAGAAACAGGTAGCAGGGATAGAAGGAAGAGAGCAAAGTGTTATTGGGAAGTGTAAGACAAAGAGTGACATAGAAAAGAAGTGTGCAAGGGAGTAAGAGAAGGAGGGAAGAAAAAAGAACCCTTCTTTTCCATGTTTCATTCTGCCTGGTTCTCACATGGCCATGTATCATCAGGCAGAGATGATTCAAATAATATGTGTGAGTCCCACACCAGCCAAAGTTGGTCATGCACCTCACTGCTTCCAGTGAGTCTTGATTTGTTATAACTAATTTGCTCCATTCATTTCAATCGAATTTAAGACCAAAGTGAATTGTAGACACACAAGTAAGCCTTCATAGAAATCATTAAACAAAAAGGAACAGCTTATTTCACTGTTTCTCCAATCCCTCAGAAGAGCACACAGGCAAAGTAAGGGGTTTCACACAAACCTAAAGATATTGGTGTCATTGTATATTGCCCTTTGTAAAATGATCTGAGATTATTTATTTGTTTGATTAATTTCTATGCCACCCAACAGCCGAAGCTCTCTGAGTGGTTCACAACATATGTATTCTTTCAGGCTAACAGGCAGGGTAGAATTTTAATAAATAAATAAATCTTTCAGGAAAAGCAGGGTATAAAAAAGCACAGGCCAGCAGTAAATATGTTTACAGACATGCAAATCCCACTGAAATCCAAACTTTAATAAAACTGTAGGACAGAATCCAGCTTCTTACCAACTGAAAATATGTGAGCAGTTTTTGGCAGAGTGCACGTAATTAGAGGAAATATTTTTACAGAAAAAAAGTATTGCCATAAAGTCCTAACATATGTGACTCAATTCATAATAGTTTCAAGGGGAAGTAGTCTGAATTAAATCAATAGGCAAGATCACCGTTTGATCACTGGAAATGATAGGGAACATGTTATATTACACATTCAGTCAGATAGTTAATACGGTTGCCTGGATCGAATTCTGAAATACATACAGCAGCAAATATGGTGATTTCCAGATTTCCTTTCTCAGATTACCACAGTGTTTCCAATAGAAAGATTATTTCTCCGCCAGACTGCAGATGGCATCTTGCAACATGCTTTGAAATACTCCATGTTTACCATTAGCAGGAGAAGAGTCTGACTAGAACAACTTGCAGCAATATATTGAATAAAACAGTCCGCCCCTTCCCATGCAGCCTGCCTTTCCTCCCCTGCTTTCCAAGCCTGACCATGCCCCATAGTAGAGTTCAGATGTACATACAGCAATAAACTTTGTAACATGGTAGCAGAGAAAACTGGTTGAAGGGAAAACTGGTTGATTTAACTTGCTTGTCATTCATCGGACCAACTAGAACTTCCCAAGTTATGGACAATTTCCATCTGGTAATCTTAACTCTGTATTTAAGATGTCTATGTTGGGCTCCTTTAGATGGGCTCGATATGCAAAATGAGAAGAGTTGCATCTTTTTATTTCAATAGAAGCACATCTTCTTCAAATATGTGAAGGAAAATGTTGTTCAGCATTTCTGTTTAAGGCATTATTATAACAGGTTTTTCCACAACGGTATTAAGAATTTATTTGTACCGAATTGTAGTTTAACCTGTATCAGAGGCTGGTCTTGGGCAGGCCATTTGAATGGTGCAGTCTAATTTAAGCTTCATATGCTAAGATTCTATGATTTTATGAACTGGTATTTAATACGTATGTATTGTTTCTTATCTGATCTGCTCAGTCCTGAAAATTCCATGACATACATCCATTTGAAGTACCCTATAGTGGGAGTTATGTCCAACTTCCGTATTTATTTTTCAATAGCTCCAAAGTCTGCCATTTCAGATTATATAACATCTGTATCATCCAATTGTTATGCAGTCATGTGAATTTCGGAGGAGCTTGAACACAACAAGTAAAATCCACAGCCGCTTGAAAGTTTAACAGGAAACTCTTTCAAGAAAATTTAGAACAAACGGCATGCACTAAACATGCATACATGCAACGTGAATCATAGAAAGATGTTTCTTCTTTCTGTAATCACCCCGACTGACAATTGCTTGGATAGCTGAATTATAATTCAGGTCAAAGACAAAGGTATCAAAAACACACAGCATTCTGTGTTAGGATCGTAATCTTACAAGCCAACACAGAAGTGTGAGTACAGATTGAAGGACAGCCTTAATATCCTTTCTATTACAAAAATCAATGGATGTGGCCTCTACCATCATGCTGGGCCATATCGTAATTGTGATCATGCTGTTTTAGCTCTCTCGTTATTTCCAATGTTTACTTTTAAAATCAACATCTTTCTCTTGCTTATAAAATGCATGGGCTGGAAACATCCCACAACATCCCTGATGCTCTTAGCATTAAATATTGAAAAACTTCATCTTGAGCCCGACCTTAAAAACCCAGCCCAGTCCTTTCTAGCATGGAGCACGTGGAACTAACAAAATACTGTTGATAGCTGTCAAAAAGTCAGTGCTGGTGCATCCCCCTTGCATCAAGACATAAAACAAGTTGCTCCTATCTCTTATAGTGGGGAAACAAGAGACTTGCAAATCATCAGACAGAACAGCTTATCCACTGCTATGACAGTTGTGGTCCCTTTTGGTTTGTTATTTCCCTGTGCAGGAGGCATTTTATTCTAGGGACAGATTCACTTGGCCAGCCTGAGCCAAGCTGGAAGCCTTTTCTTTCAGCCTGGATTAAATTTCAGCACCTGGGTTAAATGAAAGCGGCCTGCAAATGGATTGCCAGAAGCACACAGCTTAGTCAGCTAATGTGGAGTTGATACGTACAGCAACACGGAGAGCTGTACGCAGACAAGTATTTGGATGACCCTATTAGCCATGCACACTGCCTGAGTCAGGTCTCTGTGTGGCAGTTATGTCCAACCACATGCAGACTGGCCACCTGAACTGGCCCAGCACCAGCACCTCGGTGCTTCAGCACATCTCTGGCCCACTTCCTCTGTACTGTCTCAGACAGAAAGGCTTCCCTAGCCCGGGAGTATCAGAAGCCTTAACTGGTAAATACTGGACTCAATCTTCAGAAGCCCTCTGTAGGGAGAAAGCACACATTCTGCTTCCTGCAACTGTAATGCAGGGCTGGATGTGCTCTGCTCCAAACCAAATGTTTAGAATAGGATGCATTTCTCCCCTTGAAGACAGAACAACTCTGTAAGTTATGGTTGCAAAGAGAGACTAGAAAATGTGTGTGAGGAACCTGTTTGAGATCTGCGGGGAGGGGGAAGCTGCAAAGAATTTGCCCTGCCCTTGGCAATGTTCTTATCCCTCCTTGCACGCATGCATGCCCACCCCCCAAGCAAAAGGAGAATGAAATATATGTACTTAATTTACTTAGTGCATGAAAATAGTACAGGATTTTGATTACTTTGATGCATTTTCCCCCTTTAGAGTCATTTGTAAACTGTTCATAATGCACCTTTCAAGAGCTCAGACTACAGGACTATTTGCAGAAACAGGGCAAGAACTTACTTATCGTTCCCCATCATCCAAAGTTATTATATTACATTACTGAAATCTCTTAATCCAGGCCAGTGAGTTACGTAATATGACTGATACTGTTAGATGAGATCAGTAAAACCATGGCTTTTCAATCTCAATAAACTCTGGGTTTAGCACATTAGCTATGTTAGCTTTGAGCTTCACACACAGCTGTGCATGTGCAAAATAGTGCACTGCCTACAAAGGCTGGCCAGCCAGACAACACCAGCGAGCTTCAGGTTCATGCCACTCTTTAGCTCTATTGCTCTGATTTAAAGAGAAGACTGACTTATTCTATTCTAAGAATGTCACAGACCAGGGCACCAAGAGAAGCAGCGAGGAGGCGGTGTGAAAAAGAGAATTGGGAATTACAGGCAAGGGAAGACACAGGGTGAAAGACACACTAAATGAAAGAAGGAACTCTGCAGATCAGAGAACAATTTCCTGACATTTATGTTATGTGGACATTTGCAAATTCCAGACGAATGGCTCCTACTGCTAATAAGAAAAAGGCACAGTGCACCTATTATGTCATTTTCTCCTCAACAGATTTCTTTTCCACTAAGAGAAATAGGAAGACACAATTGTGGAAAAATCACAGGAGAATTCCCAACAGAAGACAATTAAATAGAAAAACTACTATTACGTGTGAGTTTTTAGTATTTATATATTACCTTTCCTCTAAGGAGCTGTACATGATTCACCTTCTCCTCCTCTCTATTTTATCCTAACAAACCCTGTGAGGCAGGTTTGGCTGAGAGGCAGTGGCCGGCCAAAAGTCCCCCAGTGAGCTCCATGGCCAAGTGGGAATGCGAAACCTGATCTCCCAAGTCCCAGTCTTTAGCTGCTGTACCACACTGGCTCTCAAAAAGCCTCACCCATTAACAGCTTCAAGCTAGTATCATCTTCCCTTAATTGCATTTTTTTTAAACAATGGCGAAGCCTTAAAGTCAGATATGTCCTATCCTGTACCCAGTAAGCCATCCAGAGATGTTTTTGGTCAGCTGTCCAGAGACTTTTTAGAATTGGACAGCATATAAAAACTTAAATAAATAAAATAAAACAAACAGAGAACTTCTGCAGTGTCCTGTACCTAAATGTTTGCTGTCTTGGGCAGAGCAAACCTTTCCAGGAAAAACCCAAGGTTAGCCCAGTTCTTTCCCAGATCCGAGGAACAGGCATCCACACATTCAAAAAATGGCCTGCCTCAATTTCCCCCTTTATACTTCTGCTTTCTGACTGGAAGAACCACCATTAGTTCTTCAATGTATTTTTTTAAGAAGCACTTTCCAGTCCAGCTCTGCAAACGTAAAAAGCAACATGAATTCACAGGGGAGAAAAAGATTGCATTCCAGTGATCATTAGCATACAGTGAACCTGCACCGGTGAAGACCAGCACTGAGATTGCCTCCAGAGCAGTCTATGGGGGCAGCCAACGCAGTGTTTCTCTGTACCCGCTCACCCCATGGCTGAGCCAAATGCAAATGCGCACATCTCATGGATGAATACATATTCAAGAGAAAGAGCTAAAAGCATAATGTAAAGAGACGCTTTTGTCATGAAGGCTTTTTTCCAGATGCACCCTTAAGTCTGTTCACTACTCACCTGCCACAAAAACAAAGGCAAAAGTAGCAAGAGTCAGTGAGGAGCCACTGTTGATCATGTTGATGAGCAGTTTGAACAGGGGAAGGAGCAGCAGTAAGGCCCAGAAAAGCCAATTCAAGAGAGTCCATGGCCGCCGGGGCAACACGAATGGAGTGCCTGGATAAGTCCCTGTCCTGTAGTATTCCTCTTGGAAGGAGTCCTAATTGGGGCAAAACAGAGAGAAAATATCATAGAGCAGAAGATACACCCATCCACAAATACACATCCTCCTGCAATTCTTCCCCTATGTAGCAAAACCCTCGTTTCCATCAGAACCTTTACTTCCACTTTGCCATTCTCTCCTACCTTAGCCCAGAAAACTAAGACTGAATACATGCAAGGGAGAGAAAAGCAGGTTGCTTACCTGTAACTGATGTTCTTCGAGTGGCCATCTGTGCAGTCACACATATGGGTACTGCGCCTGCGCAGTGCCTGTGGCCGGAAGATTGACAGCTTACGGTTTCTGGCAGGAAGCTCCACTCCCCCTCCCCCTGTGGCCTAAAAAGAGCGGAGCATCCGCCATTTTGTTCAGTCTTTGCGACCGAACGTACGCTATCTTATTGAAAAAACTTTGTTTTTTTTATGTCAGTACCATGAAAAAGGGCATAGTCGGTACTGAAAGATGCATTCACTCACCGACACCGAGCGGTCGATGCATCCACTCACCAACACCGAGCGGGGCCGGCGGGTGGGTTGTGTGACTGCACAGATGGCCACTCAAAGAACATCAGTTACAGGTAAGCAACCTGCTTTTCTTCGTCGTGGCCTCTGTGCATCACACATATGGGTAGATTAACAAGCTTGCCATAAAGGTGGAGGGAAGGTGTCCTCAATGAAGAAAGGAGGAGAGAACAGCTCTACCGAAGGAGCAATCCCGTCGAGCTCGAACATCGAGACAGTAGTGCCTGGTGAAGGTGCAAGGGTTCGCCCAAGTAGTGGCTCGGCAGACGTCATCAATCGGAACCCCGAATGCGAATGCAGACGAGGTTGCAACAGCTCTAGCAGAATGGCCTTATATGACTTCCTTGTGGACGGCTTTAAGGCAGAGTCGATGATATGCTGAATATCAGGGTGCAAAAATGTCGGATTCGGATTCGACGGGTCTTGTCTCAAACCGCAGAGTACAGAGAGACCAGAGAGGGGGGAAGCACCCGAGTGATTGGGTTCAACAATCGGATCCGAAGTGGTCGAAGTCATCGTCGGTACTGACGGATTAGTAGAAGCTGTCAGATTCGTAACTTTTGAAACCGTCGTTGGCACCGATGGAACGTCAATCATCAAATTCGCCACGCTGTTAGGTTCAATGAGAGCAAATCCGGGTGGCGAAGTGTGCCGCCCACCTGTGTTATAAGATATGGGAGCGATGGAAGATGAAGAAATTCCCCGCGAGAGATGTCGAGTAGTTTCGCAAACCACGCTTGACGTGGCCACCAAGGGGCAACTAGTATCCCCGATGCTCGGTCGTGCACTATCTTTGCTATGACCCTCATCAGAAGAGGGATCGGAGGGAAGGTGTAGAAGTTCATATTGTTCCAAGGGATCATGAATGCATCCCCTAGGGATGCGTGTCCGATTCCCACTCTCGAACAGTAAGCCTCGCACACCCTGTTCTGTTGGGTAGCGAGTAAGTCCACGTCGGGAAACCCCCAGCGCCGGAAAAGGTGGTTGCGCGTACGGGGATCCAGTTCCCACTCGTGAGAGGTGAACATGTGTCTGCTGAGAAGATCCACCTGCACATTGTCTACACCAGCTAGAGGAACAGCCATCAGCGTGATGTGTCTCCGGATACACCAGTCCCAAATTTTCATAGAAAGCCTGGCTAGAGTCGGTGACTTTGTTCCCCCTTGCTTGTTCAGATAAAAGACGGTAGCTATATTGTCCGAAGTTATCTGAACGATCTGATGATGAAGGATGTCCTCGAAAGAGTGCAGGGCTTTGAAAAATGCCAGTAGTTCTGGAAGTTGATATGATTCGTGGATTCTAGACGATTCCATGTACCCTGGGTAGATAGGCCGGAGCATACCGCTCCCCATCCTGGAAGAGACGCATTGGTGCCAAGGGTTATCGTAGGAGGTCGTGCCCTGAAGGGGACTCCTATCGTAAGATTGGTCTGTTCCAACCACCAACGCAGAGAGTGAAGCACGGAAGTTGGGATCCGAATCAGTCTCGACTGCGGATCTCTTTGAGGATGGTACACCTTGTTGAAAAAGGGCTGCAGTGGGTGAAGCCGAAGCCTGGCATGTGGAACTACAGCAATTGAGGAAGCCATATGCCCCAGGATCCTCTGGATAGACCTTGCCGGGACCGTTCCCTCTCGTCGGATTCGATGGATGTGGCGAGCAAGAGTCTGTTGTCTGTCCTGAGGGAGGAAGGCTTTTTCCAACGTCGAATCCAAGCGGGCTCCAATGAAGGTGAGCATCTGTGTCGGGAGAAGAGAAGATTTCTTGGTATTAATACGTAGGCCTAGGCTATTGAGCAAGGCACAAGTCGTATGGATGGCCGCAAGGAGTCCTTCTCTGGACTGCGACACCAACAGCCAGTCATCGAGGTACGGATAAATTTGTATGCCCTGGAGGCGTAGGAAGGCACAGACAGGACCCATGCACTTGGTAAAAACCCTCGGAACCGTAGCCAGTCCAAAAGGCAAAACTGTAAACTCATAAAGTTGGTTTGCAATCGCAAAACAAAGGAAACACCTGTAACTTGGGTGGATTGAAATATGGAAGTAGGCGTCCTTCAAGTCCAATGAGGCAAACCAATCCTCTCTCCTTAGCAACGGCAAAATGTTTTGAAGGGTAGTCATACAAAACTTTTTTGGTACAATAAACTTATTTAAGTTCTGTAAGTCCAAAATCGGACGTAGACCACCATCCTGCTTACAGACCGTGAAGCATCTGGAAGAGAATCCGTGGAGTCCGTCAGATGGGACTACTTGATGAACCGCTCCTTTACGAAGAAGTTGATGTATTTCGTCGAGCAGTACCGGTGAACATGAAGTGGACCGGATCGGACTCGACGGAGGAACGATGTCGAATTCTATTCAATAGCCGTGTTGAACGATGGAAAATACCCACTGATCAGATGTGATGGACTCCCAAATGGGGAGTCGGCTTCGAAGCCGATCCCCAGATGAGAGGGGGGTGGGTATTGGTGGAGCATGAGGAATGGTTCGCCAGTCCCGTCAACGTTGCCTCTGATCGTTGAAACGACGGCGGCCTTGTTGGAAGCATTGTTGGGGCTGAGGAAGGTGGCGCTGCTGTTGCTGTTGCTGGCGGTGCTGTGGCTGCTGCCTCGGTTGATATATGATTGCCTGTAGGGTGGACGATTCCAGGACCACTTACGTCTGGCATGGGACTGTATCTCCATCCTGCGTGCTGTCATCCTCGATTCATGCAGCTTCTTGAGCCTGTGGTCGGTGCGAGAATGGAAAAGCCTGGATCCATCGAAAGGCGTTTCCTCGATCCAGCGCTTGGTATCTTCCGGAAAATTACAATTCCGAAGCCATGCATGCCTTCGGAGAGAAACGGCACCGACCTCGCCGTGGATAACTGCTGCACCACAACCTGCATGGCTTCCTTAATCAGGACCTTCACGAGGTCACCCTGGTGGTCCGGGAGGGTGGAGGCGACGTTGTGCAGGTGCTGCATAATAAAGTATTGATACCTCACCAACGTCGCCTTGTAGTTTGATATACGGAGCCCCAGGCCTGAAGCAGCATAGACTCGCCTAGCCAGGGAGTCTATTTTTCGGCCCTCTTTATCCCTCGGTGCCGTGTGCCCTCTCCCCTCTCTGCCCTGTGAGGATTTGATGACGACAGAGTTCGGTTTGGGATATTGGAGGAGGAAGGGGTTGTCCTCCTCCCGAACCCTGTACATCGACGCATATCTCCTGGACGTTGGCTGAGGATGTGATGGCAGGTCCCAGGGCTGCGTCATCACCTGCCGCAAGGTGGTTATGAGCGGCAGGACGATGGATGTCAATTGCTCCCCGCGGACGACATCGTAGAACTTGTCCGTCGTCAGTCCCGGGCGCTGGGCAGTGTTGATGTCCAGGGACTGGACAAGTCTAGACATCAGCTCCACGAAGGAGACGTGGGACTCATCAGGCGACGCAGGACCCTGGGATGTCACAGTGACATCCGGAGAGGTTGAGTCGACCTCCGAGTCGGCCGAATCGGCACCGTAGTAGGGTGGGGCCGAAGAGGAAGAGCAATTGAGGAAGCCATATGCCCCAGGATCCTCTGGATAGACCTCGCCGGGACCGTTCCCTCTCGTCGGATTCGATGGATGTGGCAAGCAAGAGTCTGTTGTCTGTCCTGAGGGAGGAAGGCTTTTTCCAACGTCGAATCCAAGCGGGCTCCAATGAAGGTGAGCGTCTGTGTCGGGAGAAGAGAAGATTTCTTAGTATTAATACGTAGGCCTAGGCTATTGAGCAAGGCACAAGTCGTATGGATGGCTGCAAGGAGTCCTTCTCTGGACTACGACACCAACAGCCAGTCATCGAGGTATGGATAAATTTGTATGCCCTGGAGGTGTAGGAAGGCACAGACAGGAGCCATGCACTTGGTAAAAACCCTTGGAGCCATAGCCAGTCCAAAAGGCAAAACTGTAAACTCATAACGTTGGTTTGCAACCGGAAAACGAAGGAAATGCCTGTAACTTGGGTGGATTGAAATATGGAAGTAGGCGTCCTTCAAGTCCAATGAGGCGAACCAATCCTCTCTCCTTAGCAACGGCAAAATGTTTTGAAGGGTAGTCATACAAAACTTTTTTGGTACCAGTGAACATGAAGTGGACCGGATCGGACTCGACGGAGGAACCATGTCAAATTCTATTTGATAGCCATGTTGAACGATCGACTCATATCTCCTGGATGTCGGCTGAGGATTGTGATGGCAAGTCCCAGAGCTGCGTCATCGCCTGCCGCAAGGTGCTTATGAGCGGCAGGACGATGGATGTCAATTGCTCCCCGCGGACGACATCGTAGAACTTGTCCGTCGTCGGTCCCGGGGCTGGACAAGTCTAGACATCAGCTCCGCGAAGAAGATGTGGGACTCATCAGGCGACTCAGGACCCTGGGATGTCACAGCGACGTCCGGAGAGGTTGAGTCGACCTCCGAGTCGGCCGAATTGGCACCGTAGTAGGGTGGGGCCGAAGATGATGACTCCACCAGGGAGAAGGAGCGGCTGCTTCCACCCTGTGGGGATCGAGGTGACGCCCGCCTCGGATCCAATGAGCGCAGTTGGTCATGGGATGGAGGAGAGAATCGTGCCCTGGGAGCAGGGCAGTACCCTACGGAGAGCGGATCACCCCAAGTATGGTAGTAGGGGCGACGCCAGATCTCCGGACGTTGCTCTACAGAGCGGCTCCTCTGGTTCCCCGGTGGGGACAGTCCAACGTCCGCTTCCATTGTGACCGCGGGCATGGGTGTCGGTGACCTCGTCCTAGGAGGGGAGTCCTGGATTTCCCCATCAGATATTGAACCCCGTAGAGTTGGAAGGGGTGCAGGCGGGAGGTCAACCACATGGCGGGGAGACCCTTGAGGGGTAACCCGCATAGCCTCCTGGAGGACTGGTTTGGGCAGAGTCGGTACTGTAAGCGCCACCAGTACCGAGGGGCCCATCGGATCCGAGTCCCGATGTCGGGGACAGTCTGGATGGTCCGAATTCCTGGGTTTCTTGGGAGGCTTGGAGACCTTCTCCTTCCTGGCCTTTTTATGGCCTGCCGACTTCTTGGATTCGGCATGCTTCCGCTTTCCATGCTTCTTTTTAGGTGAAGCAGAGGGAGCCACCGAAGCAGACGCACCTTCATCCGAAGGCTGTGAGGGTGGGGCCACAGAAGCGGAGCCAGGTTTTGGGACGGCAACAAGCGGGTCTGATTGCGTCAGAGCCCGATCCCAAAGGAGTCTCCGGAGGTGGTTTTCGTGGTTCTTCCTGGCCTGCTTGGAGAAGGCCAGGCAATGCGCACATTTATCCGTGCTATGCCCCTCTCCCAGGCAGAGGAGGCATAGGTCATGTGGGTCAGTTGGTGCCATTTTTGACCCGCAGTCCGCACATTTGCGGAAAGCCGCTCGCTGTGCCATCGCAGAAGAAGAGGAAGAGGAAGAAGAGAGGGATAGTGCAGAGGGTAAGTATATGTTTTTGTTTTTGTTTTCAGATAGATAGATTGAAAGTAGAAATAACAAGAGAAAAACTACGAGGAACAATGAACTGGGAGCAAGGAGAAGAAAAAACTGGGAAAGAAGGACAATCGAGAGCAAGGTAACAGCTCTAAGCGAAAGTCGAAAGCGGCACGAGGCACAGCGAACGGCGGTCGCAAAGACTGAACAAAATGGTGGATGCTCTGCTCTTTATAGGCCACAGGGGGAGGGGGAGCGGAGCTTCCCACCAAAAACCATTAGCTGTCAATCTTCCGGCCACAGGCGCTGCGCAGGCGCAGTGCCCATATGTGTGATGCACAGAGGCCACGACGAAGAACCACATACATAACCTAAGTTGTACATTACCAAGCAGTTCCTGCTTTCCAAAGAGACAAATACAGTGCAGTTTTAAATGCTGCTGCCTATTTGGCCAGGGAAACCACTGTATCAAGAAGCAAAAACAAAGTACCAGTGATGTGTGTGGTGCTCTCCTCTCATGCATATATTCAAGATTTGATTCCAGCCTGGTCCTACAAAAAGCTCCTTCTCTCAGCTGTGGCTCTTAGTGCAGAGGCATATCATGTATCTTAAGCATGTTATTTCCTGCCCTGTGGTTGTCATGCCCTGACTCTTAACTCAGCCCGTTTTAATGAGCCATCATTTCTAAGGGAACAATCCTATTGCTTCCACCTTAGATGCACTTAAGCCTCTGAATTCTGAGGCTGTTTCAGCGGTCTTAATAAAATGCCAAGGAGGGGGAAGGGAAGAGGCTCAGGTGCTCACACATAGGAACTGGCGTAGGTAAACAACCATTGGATTCCCAGCCCCCAGGTCACAAGATCTCAGAGCTCCAGCTCTGAAAAATGCTATGGCCCCAAAGACAATGTCAGGAGGCCAAAGAATTGCACCTTAAAAGAATTAAGCCAAAGGCAAATAATGTTTCTCTTCTGGGTGCAGAATGTTCTTATTGGCAGGAATGGTTACAGCATCTTGAATTGCTATTGTCAAAGAATAAACATGTCAGGAGGGAAGGCTGATGGATTAAATCCATTGTTTAATAAATCAATTACTTAAATTAATCCCAGTTTTTTAAATATCCCCACAAGGCGATTTCTCCATAATTTCCAAATTTTGAAGTAATTTATGAACACTTAAGCTAATTTATAGATCTATCACTATGTCCATGGCATTCATTAAGGGCTCAATTTTATGTAAGTTGTATGCTGAAGGCACAAAAGACAATGCAGTCAACTCCACATTAATTCTTTCCCTTTAACTTTTGAAAAGATTTGCCTCCCTGTCCTACCATTTTATTCTCTATTGTTATTATTGGAAGTGCTCTAAAAACATGCCAGAGCTGTGCATGTGCTCTTCTGATTTTATCATTAAAGCATCCCATGGCATATTTCTGTGCGAGAGGCAGTCCGGGCTGAAGATCAACTAGTGCATTTTGTGGCTGAGCTTTGTCTCCCCAACATACAAACTTCTAACTCACTCTGCCATGTTATTTCTCTAGGGAATCTGTCTGAAGAGTTTTACGTTTGGAAAAGTTGCTTACACACTCGCCCACAAAACAAGAAAAGAGATGACAAAAGGCATGGTTAGCACAGCAAGGGTATCTGCCACATAAAGCCATTATTGCAAACCTGACTAGTAAGGACATGTAATGGTGCTCAAAGCTCTTCCCTCACAGTTGGAGAGGGACAGACACCCCCAGAAGCAGAATGGAAGAGTACAATTTCTCTCTGAGCTTGATAATTGCCAATCAATTTGAGGCACTATCCCGCAACAGCAACTGCCCGAATACACAGATTAATTTTATTTATTTCATTGCTATACCACCCAAGAGCTGAAGCTCTTTCATCTAAACAAATGGTTGGAAGATTTGAAGGAGGAGGAAAGGGAGAAGAGAAAAGAGATGTTGTAATGCTTTGTGCGTGATCCATGGCAAGCCTGTTAGTAAAAGTTCCAGCAACAGAGACAATTTGTGTGTGGCTAAAGGAGAAGGTAGCATACTCATTATGCTTCCAGGGAGGCATCGCCTCTCCTTGATCTTCCACCTCCTCATAAATGCATTCATTAAAAAAAAACTGCTTAGACCAGTTTGCAAAGAAAATTTGCTTAGAAAGAGGCTGAACCCCACATAGAATTATAAGCATCATAAGAGTTGCTGAATAATAAACCAACCTTTTCTTGATAGAGTTTGTGAAGCCAATTAGAACATTCCTGCTCATCTGCCGGGACTTCTTCCAAAGGAATCCGCCTACAAAGAACAGAAGAGAAGCACTGAGTGAAGAAAGGAAAACCAAAGAAATACTTGCTTTCATTTAGTATGGAACCGGAAGAGGAGCAACCCAACAAAATGAAGTTTATGTGTGGACAAACTGGTGAACATATTCCATTGTAAAGTCATACAATAGAGTGCATACTGCAATTACCTGGCTATTAACACAATGTGCTAGACCAGTGTATCAAGAAAGAAATAGTAAGGGGAATATACTTGCCTGACATATAAATCTGCATGGTATTTTTTCCCATTTAAAACTCCCAGTAAAGTTGGATTTTCATTATTTCTAAAGTTCAGTGTAGAATCATACACAGCAGACACTACAAAGGGAGACAAAGGCACCACAATGTGATTTGCTGTCACATGTCAGTTTTTATAATATATAACTGGCCCATCTCAATGAACATTATTTATTTTATTTATTTTTATTTATTTTTCGATTTATATCCTGCCTTTTTCCTACAAAGGGCTCAAGGCAGCTTACATCATTCTCCTCCTCCACCTTATCCCCACAACAACAACCCTGTGAGGTAGGTTGGGCTGAGAGTCTGTGACTGGCCCAAAGTCACCCAGTGGGCTCCATGGCTGAGCGGGGACTAGAACCCAGACCCTCTGAGTCCCAGTCCCATGCTCTTAACCACTACACCACACTGGCTCTCTTTAAAATTTAGTTGGGGAACTTGTTTGTACACTGCCCTGATACCTTTGGATGAAGGGCAATTAAGAAAAACCTGTCATTTATCATTACCATTAGCATTGTTATTACTGCTGCACACTGGATCTCTCTAACCGATAACACCTATGATCTCCTACAGTCAAGAGATAATGGGTGAAATCATGGAAATCTGGCTAAGTTCGCCCCGTCAGAACTGTTTCTGTCAATAGGAGCAGGCAAGGTATAAATCCCCCTCACCTGCAGCTGCTTGCTCACCCGCCAAAATCTTCTAAGAAGGGTTGGGAGAACCCAAAGCTGATTTCTGGGGCACCAAGGTGAAGGGGGGGGGGGCGAGCAGGGGGAGATGGAAGAGGTCCTGATTTGTGAGAAGACAGCTTCTGTTCAGTACTGACATATTTGCTCACTACAGATGTGCAGCAAGAATTTTATTTCTGATGAGACTTTGGCAAGCAAATTCAGCTACCTGGGCAAATGGGAGGGCATTGGATGGAAAAAGAGAGCTTGCTTTTTTAAACCACCTGGCAATTTACAGTCTTATTTAGAGTCCCAAGTCTGCGCAAGGACAAAAAAAGGGCTGCAAGTTCAGAACCCCAGAAAATCTAAAATGCTGCCAGTAAAAGGAAAATGCAACAGGGGCTCTGAAGGTTGAGCTTTCACCTTCTGAAAGCAAAAGATAATCCAATAACAGTGGTATGCATGGCTGCAATGCAAGAGAAACTGACAAATTGAATTAGGGATCTGTGGAAAGTGCAGAGAACCTTATATATTAAAAAGATCCTTTGAAAGGAAAGAACTGTGGTGCTTGTTCAGCTGCCAATAACTAGGGCAAATGATGCAAAACCAATCCATAATTAAACTTGCCAGTTCATATCATCCCCCCACCATAATCCAAAGGCTTGTACCAGCTTTCAACTTGGACTTCAAGCTTAGTTGGGTTTTTAAAAATAAACATTTCATTAAGGATGGATATTGGTGACATTTTCTCACTGGGAAAAGACAAACTCTTAAATATCATGAGTCATTTACCTTTCTCTTCACTTGGTTCAACTGAATATAAGCCCCAACATGCAAATAAAAAATACATTTGAACATGAAAAGAGTTTGTGATGTGGGGGAGGTAGAGAGGCAAATGTCTGCATCTTTTCCCGACTTATCTTATAAATCAAAAAGTCAGCATATTTGTTTAAACTACTGTCATTCAGAGCACTTGCAACAATATGCATGATAGGAAGCATTGCGAAGAAAAAAGAACTCCCAACTTAAACAAGGCAGAATTATTCCCCCCCAAAATATGGTACTTTTCTAAATGACTTCAAAAACAGCATAGGTAGCAAGAAGTGGGCCGATACTCTACATATGATGGCTGATGGAAGCCTACTGTTTTGTTGAAAAATGACCAGTATCAGTATCGAAGGTCTCCAACAACTTTGGGAATGGACAAAAAGTCACAGCTGGCAGCTGTCTAACTGATACTGCTTACCAGCCAAAGAAGCCCATTTTGTGCTTGCTCTCACTCACGCCCATTCACAGTGTGCCTAGTTTTTAAGGGTGCATCTCACATTCTGTGACTTACGTTAAATTATCTAGTGATTCAGTAAATCACTGCAGGTGACAAGAAAGCTCCTAGTGCCACTAATCAAAAGACGTGCAGTTATTCTCTATTTCTCTCTTTCATAACAAAAAAAATTGAAAAAGTGGTGGGAAAACATGGAAGGGTTACAAATGGAAGATGTTATCATCTGGATTCTCCATTAAATTTCACAAATGAGGCGGGGCACTGTAAAAGCCTCAGCTAGAAACACCCTCACAGAAATAACAACAAATAAATAAAATTAAAAATTCACTGAGGGTTATAGAGCATAAAGCCAGAACAAGAATGAGCCCTAAGGCCCTCAGCCCATTGAAAAGGGTTAAATGCACCCCCCTACAGACATATCCAAAAGAATATGTCCAAAAAGAATTGAAATCTCAATCCCCTCTCTGAGAAATACCACCTTAAGAAATTAGACACAATCACATTACCGCTTAAGCCTGTATATGAAGCTATATGCCAGCATGTTTAATAATGCTACCCCCATATACTGTGTTAAAGGATAATGCATGAAGGAATAGAAACTGTGAGTTATTCTATTACGTTGCACCTGTAAACCTCCTCATGATCAGATTTACTTTCCAAGCATTATCCCTTAATTAATTTGCCATGCTAACACAAGAACTTCTATATTACTAACCTATCACTTTACTTCACTATATACAATAACGTATGCTCCTACCTCACACAGAACACACACATGTGCCCACCATTCCCACCACTGCTTCTTTGCATATGGTAATTGAGATGGAACAGAGTACAATCCTATGCATGTTGAGAGAGACTGTCCTGCAACTCCCAGCCAGACATGCCAGCTGGGAAATTCTAGGAATTGTAAGGCTTTTGTTTGCCTGGCATGCAAAAGGTGGCACCCCATAAGCTTTTCACTGAGCAATATTGTGCCTGAACGGCCATGTGGAAAACAACAAGCAGCAAACAAGACACTAGCCTTGCGCGAGGATCTTTCGATATTTATTTTTAAATCTTTTTGCTACACTGCTTTACAGCTGAAGGTTTCCAAAAGACCTTCATGCATATCATTAATTAAAAGTAATAATAAACCGTAATTGAAATTTCAGGAGTATTAGTGCAAGGTGAATCATTTCTTTTTTAGTGACTCTATTATGCTTATATTCTAGCTGATAAAATAATTCCAGATAACACGATAAAACAAAGGGTCATACAATATCCCCCATCCCGACACACACACAAATCACAACAGTCAAAGCATAACAACCAAACTAAACACAGTAAAAGCCAATCATCAAAGCCAAATAAAATTAAATTCTAAAAGCAGCAGCACTAATACAAGATGCCCAGTTAAAACATTTAGGCAAATAAAGCATATTTTTCCCTGGTGCCTGAAATTCCCAGGACTGGGCATCAGGCTTGTGGAACTAAGGAAAGGCATATCATGGCTAGGGTACCATTTCAACAAAAGGCCTAACCTTCAGACCCCACAAGCCTAAATCTGGAGAGAGCCAGGATTTCAAGCACAGGAAGGTTCACGTATGTTTAAGGTAGATGGAACAGAAATTAATGGCACAATCCCCCAACAAAGATAAGGAGATACACCTACCTGTTAAAAGAAAGGCAAAGACAAGCTATGAGCTGGTGATCATGTGTACCCCCCTGGGCTTCCCTACACCCCTTTTGTACAAAGACATCCTCCTATTTTCTGATTTGCTCAAGTCATTAATTTGCTGTGACAACCAGACAAGGTTACAGCAATTTGCAAAACATGGCCTGATAACCCACTTCGTAACATGGTTTCAAAGCATGATCTGGGGACCATTTTAATCAGAGTCTACCCAATACAGATATTATAGCAAACTATGGTTTGAGCAAGCCACAGAAGAGAGAAGAGACTATGCATCCAAAAAGAAAGTCTGTAAGCCAATACAGTGCTCATGATTTCCAAACCATAGCATGGCCATGATTTGTCAACCAAGTCAGGTGTAACAACAGCATTATTTTGGGAGCTTCGTTCATCTGTTGAAAAACTGCCTCACTAAGCAACTGCTGTGAGCCAGTGGCAATGGCCATTTCAGTTTCTGGACTTCCACTTCATTGTGGTTCACAGCTATCTATGAATACAAATTGAAAAAGTCTTAGAATTTGCTCTGTGTGTCATTTCTTACCTACATTTCTCAAACACTGGACAGTGACAGCGAATCCCTTTGTCCGTGGCAGGAGATGATGCTTGAGCTTGGGGAGGCCTTTGGCTTCTGCCACCTGCATGCTGATTTTATGTTTTTGCTCCGTGAACCTTGTTCCTTCACAATGAATAAGAAACTGAAATGGGAAAAAAGGGAAAAAAAGAAAAAGCAGCTTGAAGGAAGATAACAGGGTGAAAAAGTATTCCAACTGCAACAAATGCTTCAGGTTTGATTGTTTGCTGGTGAATGGTTTGCATGTAATAAAGCAAATGATTATTAATGCATCACTGCTGATATTTCACAGAAGAACACTTGTCTCCCAAGGTTTAAGTATTAAAGCACAGAAAGCCCAACAGCTAACACAATAGTAAGGTGGTCAGGCTACAAAATACATTTCATGGCAATACTGCAGACGTACCGTATTTTTCCGTGTATACGACGATACTTTTTCTTAAAAATATTTACCTAAAAATGGAGGGGCGTCTTATACATGGAGGGCCGAGAGGAGAAACACAGTTGCGAAACTGCCGATACCTTATCTCTGCAAACTAGCCTCATGGGGGAAATTTCCGATTGCAGAGACAGGCTAACAGGTTTCCTCCAATCATGAGCCTTCTGTAACTGACGTCAGCTGATGCTGCAGAGAGCGTGTAGCCCAGGGGTGCTCAAACTTTTTCAACAGGGGGACAGTTGAAAGGTAGAGGGCGCAGGCGTGCTCGGGGGAGGGAGAAGGGTGTGATCGCGGGCGTGCTCAGGGGGAGACTGGCACGATCACGGGCATGCGTGCGGCAAGGCAGCAGCTTGCTTGCTCAGAGATCAGTAAGAAAAGTGGCGGGGGGGCATCCTATACATCGAGGCGTCTGGTAGATGGAAAAATATGGTATCTATCACTCACATAGCCTTATGCAACAAGGACGATCATAGATATGTATCTGGACCATGCTAGCACCACACAACCCAGTTTCCAACAGATTGCCCAACTTGGCATCTTTCTTTGATGTTCTGAAAACAGTTCCTTGACACAGGTAAGACTATTTTAAAAGCACAAAGGTAGCAGCTGCGATTGCCTCTATCTTGGAAAGTTTATTCATCATTGGAACAGCTTAAAACTATTTATTAAAGAGACCTTTCTCAGGAAAGTTAATCAATACTAAACCTGAACACTTCCATCCAGCATGGCTGTGGTCTTCAAACTGCATTCTGAGAACGCCCAGAACTCCTAACCAATTCTAAGGATCTTGTGGGAGCTACATACTGAAGGTAAATCATGGCAAGTTCCTTTTCCTCTTATATGGCTGCTGGGGATGTAGAAAGACCTATTCCAAGCCACTAAAATTAGTCAACATTCCCAGAAAAGGGGAGGTTAGCAATAGGCTTGGATGCAATCCCATACACATTTACTTGAAAGTAAGCCCCACTGATTTTCAAGGAAGTTACTTCTGACTAGGTAAGTAAAGGACTGAACTGTAAAATCTCACATCGAGTTGATACGGTTCTATAAAAAGAACTGGAACAACATTGGGCAAAAGTGTCTAAGGAGCAATGGGTGTAAAGAAAAAGGTGGAGGCAGAGATAAGTATATGCAACAATATTTTATTTCCTGGCATACATGTAAATGTTGGGGGGTTTTTAATGTCCTTGATTTTCAAATATTCTGAGCCAATTCACTCCACCTCATTTTCAGAAGATGAATAAATAATCACCTCACGTAGCACTCCACTTTGCACTTTAATGGAAAATGAATACGAACTCACTATCCTACTTTTCCTTATTGATTCTTGACATTGACATTTATAGAGTATGCCATATTCCACACAGAGTGTTCTCCGTTTAAGATTTCTGTGCCAACTGCAAATGTAATAATGATTACAGCAACGCTTGACTGCCAATGTTTACCCAGAAGTTTTCAGGATAGTCTCGGAGATTAAGGAGACCTTGCACGACAGTTTTCCGATCCTCCTCCCATTTGCGTTTGCAGAAAACCATCTCGAGGAAATACCACATCCAACCAATGATGGGCATATAAGCAAGTTCCTTCTTGGCAAGTACTTTGGAGCTCTACAAAACAGAAGAAGATGCAGAAAAGTATTGCCGAGTTTAAAAATTACAACAAATATTGCTATGGGTATAGTAAAGGAGGGATAGTTAGAGAAAGGTGCCTATACAGTCATGCTTCTAATGAGACAGAACGCATTCAGAAGAAATAACTCTGCAGTAGGAATTTAATGATCATGAGAAGGAATTTGATTTCGCTTTGGCTGTAAGGATTTTCATACAGCACACTAAGGAGTTAGTCCCATAAGTTAAGCCTGTATCTCAAACACAATGCAATTCTGACAGGGGTTAAACTACAACTTCCATACAATCCCTCTGGAAAACTGAATGACAGCTCACATTGCCTATTTCCTGAACAAGGCAATGTTTGTTTTTAGTTCATAGTGAGATGACAAAGGGATTGTTTGAGTTCAATGCACAATGAATTTGCTGGTACTTGACAAGTCTTTCTTAACAACAACAAAAAAAAGTGTGTATCAGCAACTTCCTGTTTTTTTAATCCTCCTTGTCTCAATTGTATAGGCAAATTGACAGATAATGTAGTATCTTATTTTGGGTTGCAGAGGTGAACTGTGAGAGCATTCTGACTTTTTCATGGATAATTAATTGTGCCCATGAGAACAAATAAAGCTGTACAAATATTTTGAGTCATATGACCTTGTCTTCAGGTAAGAAAATCAGAGCAAGCTAAAGGAAGGTTAAAAAAAACTAATCGACCAATTTGTGTTCCCACAGCACAAAGTTTCAAGTCTTTCTGAAAAGGAGGCTGTTTGCGCATATATACTCATAAGTTTAGATATATTATATGCACACTTTATATAATCAGATTGAACATTTAATAGAATTAGTCCAACTTAGTGCATATGACTGCAGCATTAATCAAACCAATACTTTATAATTGTTATTACTTAATAAAAATGTGGTACATCATCTCAAGCCAATTTTTCATTCCCAGAAGAAGAGAACCATTAACAGTTAAGCTAGACTCAGTTACTACTCCATGTGCCAGGACAGTATGTCCTTGATAGTCAATGCTCTTTTCATTGCACTTGGAATCACAGACATTCAATGACTGAAAACTTCAAAATTTATGAACTCTTCATTTCACATTTATATATTTCCCAGAAGTCTTAAGTCCGATGAAATTATTTTTGTAGCTCTGCAGTATTGGCTCACAAGAGAGTCAGTGTGATGTAGTGGTTTGAATGCTGGGCTGGGCCTCTGGAGTTCTAAGTTCTAGTTCCTACTTAGCTATCAAGCTCACTGTGTGACTTTGGGACAGTCATTCATTCTCACCTATCTCACAGGGTTTTTGTGAAGATAAGAAGGGAATTAGGCAAGCCACCTTGGGTTCCCTGCAAGAGAAAACCCCCAGGGATATAAATATAGTAAAGAAACTAATAAATATCTTTATAATTCCAAGGAGGTAGAGGAACTCAAACTTGCTTTTACAAGCAAGACAAACTTTCTGTAGTCCACAAATAATTTTTCTCATTAGAAGTTCTTGTCAAGGTATTGCTCCTAAATTTCAGAAATTAAAGGTGCAATGCAATGCAATGCATGCTTAGAAAGAACACATTCCTACAGCTCCCAGCGTCCCTTCTGACAACTACGCTGACTGGGGCATGCTTGAAATTGTAGGACATTTTTCCATCAAAACATGGATAAGACTGTGCTGAAAAAATATATTAAGAAAAACCACAAATAAGAAGTTACATATTTGCATTATAACCATCCATATTCTGAAGGTTGGACTGAGTAAAGAATAAATAATGCATTAAAAACCTGAATGCGTTTATTTCTAGTTTGAGGCAACTATAGGACTAATAAATTTATTATTACTATCCCACGGATTAAAGTCTGCTTCATTAGATTTTGTCCTCTATTGTCCAAGACTATATGCATCCAACTGGAGTACATATTAGACCAGAAAAGCTCATGCCATAATAAATTTATTAGACTTGGCCAGAAGATACACTGCTGTTTTCCATTCATACCCAATTTACCTAAAGTTACATAGGAATCTGTAGCACAAAAACTAGGCACTATTGACATTTCCCAGGGCTGGCCCCACCATTAGGTAGACTGAGGCAGTCTAGGGGATGAGGAAGGGCTGCAAGATGTTGGAGAAAAGAGCTGTATGTATCATACAACGTGCCAGTGTCCTCCTAAGCTAGCCTGCTGCCCTCAGGTGTGCTCGAGGACACTGTTCCATCACCCACATGAATTGAGAGTCAGCTGCAGACCAGCTGGCTTCCGTACAGGAAAATGGGCTGGTGGCTTCTAGTCCTTCTTAGGCAGCCAGATATCTTGGGCATGTCTTGCCTTCTACTCCTTAGGTTCCTTTCAGGTTATCCTTGTGTTTATTTACTACAAACAAGCAAAACAAGCTTCAGGTAATTCCCACTGATGCAAGAGAAGAGCTAAGTGTGGGCTTAACCATCTCCAAATAAAATGAATAAGATTTTTGATACAATTTAGTTGGAGTGTGTCCATACTACTTTCATTATGATAGGACAACTTTGTATAAAATGTAGTTACTCATCTACATTCGCTGCTAAAACCTGAAGGAAACAGCAATATGTTCTTCTTGCAGGTGTTGAGAGCAGGCTTAAAGTGGGTTGGATTTATACAACATAATCCACAAATTGCAGCTTTCATCCTACTGCTTTTAAATTCCCTCTTTCATTCAGTAACAAAACACAGTGGCCTTAATTGTAACACTAGCATTCAGCATCAAGCTGTTCTTTGTTATATTTCTCCTTTCATTCTGGCTTGTCAGCTTATACTTTGTTAATAAGATGCCTTATTGAATTGTCAAGTGGAAACTGGAACTACAAATTGCGAGAGAAATGTTGTTTCAGCTCCAAGTGAAAAATACATGCTGCTTGTACTAAATCAATATGACTGTTTTATTTATATATCAATTGTTCAGCCTTTCTAACAGGACATTGCATTGTACCAGCAATGATGGGCTAATTCAATTTTTGGAATCACACAGAAGTTAGATACAGGGACTCAGAGTCCAATTTTGTAATATTGAAAAGCAGTCAACATGATGCAAATACCACCATATGTGACAGAATTTTTTTAAAAATGGAAGCAGATACATGCTGAGATGCAGAAAATCCTTAAAATTGACTTTCCAATGAATGCCAATAACATTTTACTGAGTACTGTCCCACAGACTATCCCAAAGATTATGAGAGACTTAAGCAAATATATGATAACAGTGGCAAGAGTGAGAATGGCTTCAAAGTGGAAAGCTGAAGACTGCCTGTCAAAGATTGGAAAAACAAACTACACTGGTACCTTGGCTCACGAACTTTATCCGTTCCCTGACTCTGGTCGCAACCCAAATTGGTCATGAGGTAAGTCAAATTTCCCCATAAGGTTCAATGTAAATAAGGTTAATCCGTTCTGTAACTATTTTTTTTAATCACAAAAATTTGAAGCAAAGTGACAAAGAACAACAAAGATTGCAGCCATCTCCCCACCCCCAAGCATGATCACAGCCATCTCCCCGCCAGCACAACCACTATCGAGCCCGTGTTCCCTGCATGAGCGTGACCTCAATCATGGCCATAGACGGGCATGATCGTGGTCACGCTCGAGCAGGGAAGACGGGCGCAATCGCAGCCATCTCCCCCACCCCCCAAGCACGACCGCGGCCATCCCCCCCCCGAGCACGACCGCGGCCATCCCCCCCCCGAGCACGACCGCGATTGCACCTGTGTTCCCTGACCGGGCACAATCATAGCCATCTCCCCCAGCCCCCAAGCATGACCACGATTGCACCCATGCAGGGAAGATGGACACGATCATCATCTGATGTGGAGTTCACAACCTGAGGCAAATTTTTTCTGAAATTTCTTTTCACGACCCGAACTTTGGTCGTGAACATGAGCAGAGGTACCACTGTAGCTGAATATGCAACAATGGCTAAGCTAATTAGTTATGCCAACAGAAGACCAATTAAAGAATTTAGATGGAAGGCTTACTATGAACAATTTAAATAATGATTAAGGAAAATATAATTCTTATAAATGTTTGTGATGAGTATTCATTACCAAAGAAATGTTATGATCTATAACTAACTGTATAGGCTGGATAAATGTATGACTGAGAACTGAATGGGCTGGATGGGAAAGTGGCTGATATAAACTTTTGTTTATTGTATATGTGTTTAAATGAAGAGTTGCTTGCTAAATCTTTGGAACAATCCTTGCCTTCTTTTTTCCTACATACTTTTTTCCCTTTCTATTGTATTTTCTCAAAACAAATAAAACGATTTGGAAAAAACCTAAGCTACACAAATTATAAGTGCCAATCAAAGACCTCATTCTAGACTACTAAAAGATACATTGCTACCTGTCATTACTGGCCCTGTTGTCACTTGGATTACTAAAGCATGAGAGAATAGCATGCCTTTCCTCCCTCTTTGCAAAAAGGTAAGATAAAACTTGACATTAAAGTATACAATGTATGAGGCTCAGAAAACGCACACACATTCAATAGTTAGAAGCAACCATTAACCAGGAAGACACAGAAATGAAAAGACTTTGCAACACCACTTCAAATTAATTTTGCTCGTGAGAATTTTGGCATGTGCCCTTGCAAACCAAGTATCCTGGCTTCAGATTCTCACTGCACTCTGAATGTGTCTATACTTCCCAAGGAATAAGAGCAAGTTCTAATGCTACTTGTCATAAAACAGAGAAAGAATGATGCTAGCTATGGATCCATTTTGTATGCACCTGTTTATCGTCATTCCCGGAGCTCATGGTTGCATAGATATTTTCAACAGGACTGAACAGTGATAATGAGCTACCATCCACTTCCAATTGTAGTCAAATATGACTTTGTTCCCAAGACTCAGTCTCACCAGACTTCATTCAAAGTGAACATCAGGAGGTTAAGATAATCTCTGGTGCTATCACTCTTTCAACCCTTCCACACCATATGGCCTTTGCAATGCAAAATCCTTAGGAAGGTCCTTTCAC